AGCCCGGTGAACGATTGTTAGAGCAAGAACAAAACCAAAGTAATTTCCCTCATAGTTGTGTGCACACGGTGCCCAACTAGAAATTACTTTACTACCCAAAACCAAGTCCGACTACGTATTTTCAATTGGAAAAGACGTTTCGGCATCCCTTTGTATTTGTTTTCCGTGTGAATCTCACGCCGAGAACAAATTCAAATGTAACCCCGCTTAACTTATTTGAGTTAAGCGAGGCATTTAAAACCAACACGCATTCTGATCGAAGTGCGTTGCACTTTTTCCATACGCTGCTTTCGACTGCAATTGCAGCGAAATGCATGCGTGATCAGAAAGCGTTTTTCCCAAAACCTGTGGGCTCCACGTCCCGAAGCAATCCACGCACTCGACGCCAACGCGACTCAAGCCCGCCTAGATGAAGCCACGACGCCTTGCTATGACGCTGACCAACAGCTCATGCCCATCTACTGCACTCATCAGTTCCTCAAGGCCGGCCGCGTATCAATCAGAAGGTGATCTGGAGGCGATCAGGATCGTGGATCCTTCAAGTAATTTTTTTTCACGTACGTTTCCCACAAGCACGAACCTCGTGTACAGTGGGTCTCGTTTCGTTGATTGTTTTTTAAACCAGTACCGCGCACGCAAGTCTGCTCTCAGCATAAGGCGAATGCTGCTGCGAAATCTTCGCAGCGCATACCTATGCTCTGAGGACAAGCTGATTGCGTATATCCAAAACCGCACCTTCCGCCAAAACATTTTTGGCGTCGAATCCCATCAAGGTGCCACTCTGCTCCGGCTCGGATGCCTAACACACACCCGGCACTGCTAACCGCTACATCATCAAGATGAGCGAGTGGCGGCAGGAGCAGGAGTTAGTGATTGGAACTGTGCTGAGTCCTTGTTTCGGCCAACGGTCTCATGTCCGTTCGGCATTCGACTTGTGGCTCAACAGCGTTCGGTCGCTTTCCAAAACCCAATAGCTGTCCAAATGTGCGTCGCCGCCCACCAGTGTGAAAGATGCACGCCATCATAGCACTTCGGTGTTGATTCAACCCTTTTCGCTAAGGGTATTCGGACAGCTAATTCTGCCTTTAAACCAAAACCGAGATGCATCGGTCATCTTTTGCGTTGGCGAATGTAGAACTGCTCGTTCAGCCACGCGGATATTGACCGCTCTCAGCAAAACCCAGAACCTAAACGTCATCAACCAAGACAACGCCGTTTATCTGCAATTGTTTTGTGACGTAATCCAGTTTAAAACCAACACCAGACCTTAATGCTTTGCTTGGCTCGCTGACACGACGGACAAGCTTACAGCATTCTGGAAACAGCACAGTGTCTTTCTTCAAGCAACGCCGTCTCGACACAACCGACTGCTGCCAAGACGAACGCCGTATTGTCCCGCCGTGAGAACGTGCGGGATGCGACTGAATCTTGTCGATGAAGGTTGTGGAGAGTCGGGCGCAATGCTGAAGAAATACTAAAGGTACGTATTGCATTAGTTGGTAGACCCAACTACGGTTGTTGCTCTGTCACTAATAAGCATTCGTGCCTTTATACCAAGACCGCCCCATCTCGGGCTCAATCAGAACCTGCACTCGTCTGGTTTCGCAGCTTCGGCTACTACGTCGTTGCTGTGCAGCTACGAGACGAGTCGTTTTTTGAACCAAGTCCTGGTATGCTTTGATTAATGCAAGCAAAGCTCGCAAGTAGTCAATACCTTGACATCCACATTCAAAACTACCGGCCTGAGCAAGTCTCAAATGGGTCGGAGCTGACGGCTTCCGTATCAGTTTGAACCAGATCAACTCGATCCGGGGAAAACGATACGTAGGCACGACGCTTAGGACTTACGTCCATTTGATTCAAAACCTATCCAATCACATGGCCCGAAATGAGCCAGTGATTCGGTAACTCAAAACCCGCTCATTGACTAACCGTCAATGAGCAAAGACTTGAACCAAGCCCTTACAGGCTTCATTGCCTCGCAAATTCCAAAACCCAAGGCCTTAAAAATTTACGAATTTTTAAGCCTTACCTTCCAATGGAAGTAAAAAGTTTTGATCCAATACATGGGAAAGCAAAGCTTCGTGGAAAGTCTTCACTTCCCGTCGCTGGCCCCCAGATCATATCCAATCTGCTCGCGTCACAAGACTTCCACGAACGAGGACAAGGACTCTACACACCATGTACGCTCCACGTCCTCCACGACCAACCGAAAGCGCAGCAAACCATCGAACAATGTTCAAACTGTTTTCTCTATGTGTGTCTTTTTCGTTTGGTCACTCCCCCATGTATTGTAAGTCCGCCCACGTGGCGGACTCTACCCCTGCCTTTGAACCAAAACCTTTTTCCGGGCGGAAGGCCTTTGGCACTACGTTCCATAGGCAAGGACGACACTGACCCAAAACCACACTTCCCGTTGTTACCTGTTGGTACTCTGAGGAGCCTCCCGGCACTCAGAGAAAAACATCCGGTTGCTGAATCGAAGGGTTCTACTCATACCTTCTTCAGTTGGCGAAAGCCAGTGTGAAAACTTCCCCGTTAACTCGGGCGGCAGTGTCGAAACCTTTCTGCTTATTGCAGAGGTTCGAAGGGATTTTCCTATCCCGCGCCCCTTGCCTGTGATACCGTAGTCCCCGAGCGCCCCCGGAGAGCCGCGCTCTCCGATTATTGGGTAATTGCCTTTTGGGTTAATTGCCTTTTTGGGGAAATTGCCCTTTTTGGGTAGTTTCCTGGGAGCAAGCCTCCATGCTGCCCAATATCGTCAGAGTTGAGCCAAAACCCTTTGTATTGCTTTGTGCAATATGTTTTGAACCAGAACCTTGTGACCAAGCGATGAGTACAATTGTATCTCAGTTTTGTTCATTGCCGATAAACCTTTTGTCTCTAGACAATTGTACCGAAATGCATTTGGGACTCTTTACAAGATTTCTACCACTGAACAATCCAAGCTTCATCTCCTTGTTGTGGCTTCTTGGGTTCGTGAATCTTTCTTGACCTATGTCGAGGATACTAGGTTCGGGAGAGTCTGAACGGGCCCAAGGGGCAAAGGCAGAAGTATAAAGTGTGGCAAGTCCCTACTCTAGTCCTCCGTGATCCTATGGTAGAGGCTAGAAAGCGGGATAGACTTTATTACTTTTGTCATGGTGCGTCGGCCGGGTACATGGGAAAGCAAAGCTTCGTGGAAAGTCTTCACTTCCCGTCGCTGGCCCCCAGATCATATCCAATCTGCTCGCGTCACAAGACTTGCACGAACGAGGACAAGGACTCTACACACCATGTACGCTCCACGTCCTCCACGACCAACCGAAAGCGCAGCAAACCATCGAACAATGTTCAAACTGTTTTCTCTATGTGTGTCTTTTTCGTTTGGTCACTCCCCCATGTATTGTAAGTCCGCCCACGTGGCGGACTCTACCCCTGCCTTGAACCAAAACCTTTTTCCGGGCGGAAGGCCTTTGGCACTACGTTCCATAGGCAAGGACGACACTGACCCAAAACCACACTTCCCGTTGTTACCTGCTGGTACTCTGAGGAGCCTCCCGGCACTCAGAGAAAAACATCCGGTTGCTGAATCGAAGGGTTCTACTCATACCTTCTTCAGTTGGCGAAAGCCAGTGTGAAAACTTCCCCGTTAACTCGGGCGGCAGTGTCGAAACCTTTCTGCTTATTGCAGAGGTTCGAAGGGATTTTCCTATCCCGCGCCCCTTGCCTGTGATACCGTAGTCCCCGGCGCCCCCCGGAGAGCCGCGCTCTCCGATTTTTGGCGAATTGCCTTTTTGGGTAAATTGCCCTTTTTTGGGACAATTGCCCCTTTTTGGGTAGTTTCCTAGGAGCAAGCCTCCATGCTGCCCAATATCGTCAGAGTTGAGCCAAAACCCTTTGTATTGCTTTGTGCAATATGTTTTGAACCAGAACCTTGTGACCAAGCGATGAGTACAATTGTATCTCAGTTTTGTTCATTGCCGATAAACCTTTTGTCTCTAGACAATTGTACCGAAATGCATTTGGGACTCTTTACAAGATTTCTACCACTGAACAATCCAAGCTTCATCTCCTTGTTGTGGCTTCTTGGGTTCGTGAATCTTTCTTGACCTATGTCGAGGATACTAGGTTCGGGAGAGTCTGAACGGGCCCAAGGGGCAAAGGCAGAAGTATAAAGTGTGGCAAGTCCCTACTCTAGTCCTCCGTGATCCTATGGTAGAGGCTAGAAAGCGGGATAGACTTTATTACTTTTGTCAGATAGTAATTCGACCACGGCGAACATTTTGAGATACTCGGCGCATTAATAGGACGTATGGCTGAAAAGTTAGGGCTGGGGGGTAAACTGCACTCTAACCAGCAGAGATTTTTGAGGAAAACGAAAAACGACGAAAATCGCGGTTCTGTTCTATTTCGCGTGGGGGAAAAAACTGTGCGGGGGGGGGGAAATATGCTTCGCGGAACCTTCCATCTTTTCGCTATTTTCTCGGGATTTTTGCAACGCCATTCGATAGAGCATCAAAAAATATACTAAGAGTTTTTGTTTTAGCTAAAAATATTGTAATATAAAAAAGTTATAGCAAAAACAAAAAAAACTATTGAAACTGGTTCCAGAATGTTAGTTTTCGGCATTTTCGCCAGTTTTTCGATATTTTGAACCCGTCATTCGATAGAGCATCAAAAAATATACTCAGAGCTTTAATGTCATCTAAAAATATTGTTTTATAAAATAGTTATAGCAAAAACAAGGTTTATTCGGTGTTTCCACATGGGATCGTGGAATCGAAAGCTAGTTTTCGACATTTTCGATAACTTTCAAAAATTTCTTAAATGCCATTCGATAGAGCGTGAAAAAATATACTAAGAGTTTTAATTACAATTCAAAATAGCATCATATCAAGGGGTTATCAAAAAAAACGAAAAAATTTCCCCCCCGCACAGTTTTTTCCCCCACGCGAAATAGAACAGAACCAAAATCGCATTTTAAAGGAACCGTGAAGTACGCGCCGGTGGCCTGCCACATGAACCGCGAGCAGTGCCGGCTGGACGACTGCGAGACGTGGCTGTACATGCTCGTCGAGCTGACGAAGGGCACGCTGCCGTGGCGCAACATGAAGGTATCGCTCGCTCTCTCGCTCTCTCTCTCTCTCTCTTTCTCTCTCTCTGTCTCTCTCTCTCTCGCACCACTCAATTCCAGGACATTCGCGAGATTGGTGACGCGAAGCGCGGCGTGCGGATGAGCGAGCTGGGCCTGAAGCAGCTGTTCGGGGGCTGCCCGCGCGAGTACATTGATGTCTTGAGGTAGCCGTCATTTGCGAGTCTGGAAACTGTAGCCTGTAGTTTAGTATTAATACGGTATTAAAAACGGTTGGAAATACAGTAGTAAACGTTTCCGTTTAGGGTGATCGACGGGGCGAAATTCTTCGACGAGCCCGACTACGCCAAGATGTACAACCTGCTGCGCCAGGGGATGCGCAGCACCAACGCTAGGGTCGGTTTCCGGTCCCTTAAGCGTAGTATTACAGTTGCAAAATTTATCGGAATTTTGTTACAGGAATACCCGTACGACTGGGAGGATTCCTGATGCGCCAGATGGAGGAGGAGAAGAAAAAGAAGGAGAAGGGCGAAGGGTCGGCCAAGGCGCCCAAGAAGGAGAAGAACGAGGAGGTATTTTTCGTAAATTTAATTTTTAATTTAAATAGTTTAAAAATTACGTTTCAAGCTTTATGAAGGCAATCTCTATCTTGAAAACCGGTTTCCAGGACAAGCAAGCCGCCGAGGCGAAGAAGCAGGCCATCCTCGACCAGCAGGAGGAGGTGCGGATTAAAATTGTTTGACCGAAAAGGGTTGAAATTTGTGCGAAACACGATTTTTTACGAGACTTAGGCTTAATCTCAGGCTTAGGCTTAGCTTAGGTTTTTGAGTAGGCTTGGGCTTGGGCTCAAGCTTAGGCTTAGGCTTGAGCTTGGGCTTACATTTGGTTTAGCTTAGACTTACTTAGGCTTAGGTTGGACTTAACCTCAGGATTAGGCTTTGCAGCGATTAGCTTAGGCTTAGCTTAGACTTAGGCTTAGGTTAAGCTTAGGCTTAGGATCAGCCTCGCGCTTAGGTTTAGCTTGGGCTTAAGCCTAGGCTAAGGCTCTAGCTTAGGCTTGAGCTCGGGCTTACATGTGGCTTAACTTCGACTTAGACTTAGGTTGGACCTAACCCGATGATTAGGCTTTGTAGCGATTCGCTTAGGCTTAGCTTAGACTTACGCTTAGGCTTAGGCTTAGACTTAGGCTTAGGCTTAGGCTTAAGGCTAGACTTTGGATTGGAGGTTTTACTATGTTTTTTTTTGCAGGACAAGAAGAACAAGGACAAGAAGAAGGACGACAAGAAAGACGACAAAAAGGAGGACAAGAAGGATGAGAAGAAGGAGGACAAGAAATAGCGAGAAGCCGAAGAAGAGGATGAAGAACCCGTAGAAGACGTCCCGTCCCCCCTCACTCTATTTCGTGCCCCCCACCACCCGGCTACCGTACCCCTCCCCGCTCCCCTCACTAAAAAGATCTCGAATCCGATTAAATCCTGCACTGTTCACATTCACCGTTTTTCTGTAGACTCGATGCCCGACTTTTTCGACGAATAAAGTTGAATTTTTTTGCTTGCAATTTTTTTAACGCCATTATCAAAAGTTTTCGGTCTACCGCGCGCCGCGACACGCAACGCACGTAATCGACGCGGCACGCAACGCAACACACAGCGCGTTCGTCGTGACATGCAACACATACAGGCCCGTGACGCGACACGCAGCGCGGCAAGCAACGTAGCCACAGCGCGAGACGCAACGCAACCCGCCGGCCGCGAGACATAACGCACGCGGGCACGCGACGGGACACGCATCGCTACGCAGCCGCCGCGATAGCTAGCGGCAACCTCGCGCGACAAGCAACGCACACACGCCACGCGATACGTCACGCACGCACGCGACCTACGCCCGGCCCTTGGTACGCATGCACGCGACGCGACTTGCTCGTCGTGACACGCATCGCATGAGATGCGATGCAGCACGCACCGCGGCAAGCAGCGCAGGTACAACACGAGACGCAACTCAACCAGCTCGTCGCAGATAGCGAGATGCAACGCGACACCCAGCGAACGCACGCGACGCGACACGCAACGCAGCACGAAATACCCAGTAGAGCAACGCGCCCGCCGTGACAAACAAAGCGCGCGCCCTTTAGCCCTTGGTACGCATGCACGTGACGCGACTTGCTCGTCGTGACACGCATCGCATGAGATGCGATGCAGCACGCACCTTGGATACGCAACGCGCTTGGTCGGTGTGTCAGCCATACCGCCAGCAGTCGTCGCCGTCGTGGCATGGTCTTTTGGATTCGACTCGGTGAGGTGATATAGTGATTCGGTGGCCTTGCATTGAAATGGATTCTGCCTTGCGGCGACACGCAACGCGTCCGCAAACGCGAGTTGGTCGTCACTGAGACACAAGGGCAGGGCCGCGTTGGCGTCGCGTGTTGCGGCGCCGGGCGCGTTTCAAAGCCATGCTAAGCAATCAATAAAATCCATCATCATAAAGTGCTTTGCGTTGGCGTTGCGATTGTTGAGGAAGAGGAGAGGGCAGGCTAGCAGAGATTGTTGAGGAAGAGGAGAGGGCAGGCTAGCAGAGATTGTTGAGGAAGAGGAGAGGGCAGGCTAGCAGAGATTGTTGAGGAAGAGGAGAGGGCAGGCTAGCAGAGATTGTTGAGGAAGAGAGAGAGGGCAGGCTAGCAGAGATTGTTGAGGAAGAGGAGAGGGCAGGCTAGCAGAGATTGTTGAGGAAGAGGAGAGGGCAGGCTAGCAGAGATTGTTGAGGAAGAGGAGAGGGCAGGCTAGCAGAGATTGTTGAGGAAGAGGAGAGGGCAGGCTAGCAGAGATTGTTGAGGAAGAGGAGAGGGCAGGCTAGCAGAGATTGTTGAGGAAGAGGAGAGGGCAGGCTAGCAGAGATTGTTGAGGAAGAGGAGAGGGCAGGCTAGCAGAGATTGTTGAGGAAGAGGAGAGGGCAGGCTCTAGAGCCAAAATAATTATTTTTAGGGAGTTAAGGGAATCGGCTACCGTATGAAAATAGAGCAAAAATAATTCGAAACATCTTTTTAGACATTCTAGAGCCCAAAATAATTATTTTTATACACTTAAAGGTAGCCGATTTCATACGTTGGCCGATTCCCTTAACTCCCTAAAAATAATTATTTTGGCTCTAGAACGTCTAAAAAGATGTTTCGAATAATTTTTGCTCTATTTTCATACGGTAGCCGATGCCTTTAAGTGTATAAAAATAATTATTTTGGCTCTAGAACGTCTAAAAAGATGTTTCGAATTATTTTTGCTCTATTTTCATACGGTAGCCGATGCCTTTAAGTTTATAAAAATAATTATTTTGGCTCTAGAACGTCGAAAAAGATGGTTCGAATTATTTTTGCTCTATTTTCATACGGTAGCCGATGCCTTTAAGTGTATAAAAATAATTATTTTGGCTCTAGAACCTTTAAAAAGCCCGTGTCATGCCTTTCACGTGGTAAGCGCGCCCGGCGACTGTAAGCGCGTAGTGAAACGGAATCTGATGAATTGCAGTATTGAGTTGCCAAGTGAGATCGGTATTAGTACACACACACATGCAGGCAATGCTTTATTGGGTCGTATCAATAGACGGGTATTCGCATTTGTATACATACATGGGTGAAAATTTGTATACACATATGGGTGAAAATTCTGACGAGTAAGTGTTTTTTGGAAGGGGCGTGCAATCAGATGAAATCAAGTGGGCATCTGCATCCCGCGTGGCAACGAATAACCTTTCGCCAACCCTCTCATGACTCGGTGGAAGCTGCAGCGGCCTGGAAAGAGAGCGTCAATCGGGAAGGTCAGAAAACTTGACGGCTTTCGACCGCGTTGTGCAACATACAGGTGCCCATGCCCATCGCTGTTAAAAATTTGGTCTCGATCGGCTAGAATACGGCCAAATGCCGAGGGGGGGGGGCGAGTTTGGGACCCTGTATGTTGCATAACGAGGTCGTAATCCGCCAAGTTTTGCGCTCAAAACTACTAAAGAAACACTTTAGTCACAATATAATAGTTATGGCTCTGAGAATTGTTTCTTTTGTTAGTTAAGGTGCGATTAAGCCGCCGTTCGAATTTTTAAGACGGCCAGCTTCATCTGCCGAAAACGTACTTCCAGGGCCACAGGACTTGTAGCAAGCTTGCTTCACCTTGTAGGTTGCTTCCCTAAAGAAAGAGGCCATGAATCGCTGGCGGCTTCTCCCATAAGAGAAAAGGTATACTTAGTGTCCCTTGGTTTTGGGACACTCTGTACCTAGAATTACTAACGAAATGTGAGCGTAAAATACTTTAAAGCTTTATAGGTTAGCCGACTACGGTTTACTTTACCCCGCCACCCCCCCAGCCGAAAGTTTTTGGCTATAAATTTTTTTTATTTTGCATTATTGTAGGCTCAAATTAAAACTCTTAGTATATTTTTCGACGCTCTATCGAATGGCGTTGCAAAAATCCCGACAAAATAAGCGAAAATACCGAAAACTTTGATACCCTTCGGCTGTGGGGGGGGGGGGGTAAAGTAAACTCTTACCGGTTAGCCTACCTGAATTTCCGCAAACACTTGTCGCACACAAACAGGGACAGCGCGTTCGTCAACTTGCCCACTTCGCCACAATCCCCGCACTTGCCAGAGTCTATCTGAAATGCAAAGTTGCGTGTGCGGAAAGGTGACGGCTTGGATTAGGCTTATGCTCAAGCTCGCCTTAAGATTGGCCTAGGTTTAGGCTTCTCTCACTAAAAGAAACCGGTTTTGGGCTGTAAGCGGGGGGCAGATAAACACAACACAAACGTATAACGAAATTCAACACCATCTTAAGGGCATTTTTCATAACTTTTATTCATGTAGATGAAAAGTTTTACAAAACAACAACGCAAAAACTTCTCGAGAAATTAGGCCTTACGCTCAAAAACGGATGAAAAATGACCAAAAGGGTTAAAATGTTCGAATCTTCAAGATAAAAAAAAATGGGTTTAAATTCATGCCAAGCAAAAACTACTAAAAACGATAAAAATTATATATTATCAACGGCTATCGGTGGGAAAAGTGATCCCTCCCCCGCTAACCGTCCAGATCCCAGAAACCCACGGTAATAATGTGGGGCGGCCGACCCGGCTTGCGGCATGATACGGCTGTAGCCTGAAATTACCGGCTGGTTATAATTGTAAGAAATGAAGATAACTAATGTTAAGTCAATTAGGAATTCAGCAGTGGCGTCTGTCCGTCAGTCTGTCTGTCTGTCTGTCAGAACCCAACTATAACTCGAAGGGGAAAGGAGCTAGAGCCGAGGCCTCTTCGGATTCGGATAGAGCGCGGTCAGAAACCCCAAACTGATAAAAACAAATTGCGAAAAAGTTTCGTTTAAATTAACTTTGGAGATTGAAGAAGATTATTAAATTTAACTTTGAAAGTGGCGCCTTACTAAAACGGCCGGCGAACGGGCTTGGTGCCTGAGTTTAGGCATAGTGAGCCAGGTGGCGCGCGTTTCGGCGAGGGGGCGGAGCGGAGGGCGGATGGCCTGTGGTAAACGCACTTTTCCGGGTCTGCGAACCGACCACAAGGAAAGAGTTACGAAGCTTTCAAAGGCGAAAAACGGCCATTTTCGGCATTTTTTTGCACTTTAGAGCTCCGCAACTTTTTCAATACTGTTTTTTTGCAGAATCTGAAACGTACATTTCAATCAGCGAAAAATTCTGCACCAAGTAGCCTTGGTCTCATTTCGAAAATTAGTGGGAACCAAAAACGCCTGCTTTTGAGCCGAAAAGCCGAACCCAAAAATGTCCTTTTGGTGGCTGATTGTCACGGTCGGAAACGGTGGGCCAGGTGGCGCGTGTGTGGAAAACGCTCAGCCGCTGCATGAGTAGCAGCCCGAAATGCAGGCCCGCGGGCGACACACAACGCGCCCGCTCGCCTGCCGATTCTATAGGTCTAGTCTCGCACGCGACACGCAACGCGCCGTTGAGAGCTGCATTACGACGTAACAGCGGGAGGCGGCAATTTGCGTGTCGGAGGCCAGATGCGCATCAAAATCCATTGACCATCCATGACCCAGAAAATGTCGTCAACGCTGGTTGCATTCTGGGGCCACCAGTCGAATTTCCACGTCCATTTTGAGCCCTTTATTTCCGAAAACATCGAGAACAACAAAGCAGAGAGAAAATCATCGATATACAGAGGGCGAGCATGCATTTGTGTTTGTCTTGGTCCTTTTTTTTGTTCTGCTTCGAGTAGAGTAGTCGGGACGGGACGTTCAGGGCTGGAAAATGGAAATTCGACTGGACCGGGATTCTTTAGCCCTATCGGTGGGGGCAAATTTTTTCCAAAAGCCGCTGGAAGGCCTAGTCACCGAATTGTATGCCTTTTCATGATGTTTTTGGTGCAAGCGAAAAACCCCTTAAAAACGCCTCAAAAAAAATTTAAAATGCAAAACTTGGCTGGGAAAACGCACAATTTTTTCTTCTACGAAATTAGATGCTAACGGAAGAAGGTTGTCCCCCGCTAACCGCCCCCTATAGTGCCAAAGACCCAACAGCAAAACAACCAAGTTTAAGGCTGAGCTCAATTTAATCGCGAAAGAACCAAACTTAGGAAGAAAGACTTTGTGAGATTAGATCTATATTTGCGAGATTTTTGTGGAACGTCCCGCACCTCGTGATCCTCGAGCTCTCCCATCAAAGTACTTGGCTCATCGAAAGCACCAACGTCCGTCTCGTGCTGGGTATCGTCCTGGAAAGTAGATTTTTGTATTAACTATCAGGGTTTTTTCGCAAGAGGCGATCATCAATTTTCCTCAATGCGGTCTGCTATCCTGCCCTCTCCACTTCCCCAACAATCTCTGTTAGCCTGCCCTCTCCTCTTCCTCAACAATCTCTGCTAGCCTGCCCTCTCCTCTTCCTCAACAATCTCTGCTAGCCTGCCCACTCCTCTTCCTCAACAATCTCTGCTAGCCTGCCCTCTCCTCTTCCTCAACAATCTCTGCTAGCCTGCCCTCTCCTCTTCCTCAACAATCTCTGCTGGCCTGTCCTCTCCTCTTCCTCAACAATCTCTGCTAGCCTGCCCTCTCCTCTTCCTCAACAATCTCTGCTAGCCTGCCCTCTCCTCTTCCGCAACAATCTCTGCTAGCCTGCCCACTCCTCTTCCTCAACAATCTCTGCTAGCCTGCCCTCTCCTCTTCCTCAACAATCTCTGCTAGCCTGCCCTCTCCTCTTCCTCAACAATCTCTGCTAGCCTGCCCCTCTCCTCTTCCTCAACAATCTCTGCTAGCCTGCCCTCTCCTCTTCCTCAACAATCTCTGCTACTGCCCTCTCCTCTTCCTCAACAATCTCTGCTAGCCTGCCCTCTCCTCTTCATCAACAATCTCTGCTAGCCAGTCCATATTCCTGCCAAAGCGCCGTAGGGAGTCTACGCATAGTCAAAGTATCGTGCCGAGTCCGCTTGGCAGTTGATGCTGTACTCGACGCGCTCGAGCTGGCCGGCGCAGTGGATGGCCTCGTTGACAGGCATCAGTTCCCCGCTGTCCTTGTGGAACAGGCGCAAGTCCTCACCGTTGAACACGACGCCATCGGTGGTCGAGCCTATAAGCACGACAATGAAGAAAGACACGAAAAAACTATTTGGAGACTGAAATTAAAAATTATTTTTTTGAAAATACAAGTTTCATTGCATGGATCATAGCACTAGGTTTTTTTTCAATTTCAAAACATCAGTTATCCATAACCTATAATAAGGTATGTTTCAAATAATTTCTGTTGTCTGCAGCACTTTCTTGAAATGTGAACATGCTTCCCAGGCCGCTCAAGCCTTCCAAGTCGTTTAAGCCTACTGTAACCGTACACTACCATACCTAATCGAAATGAGATTCGGGCATGCTTGAGGGTGGTGCGCATGTCCTCCTCGCGGACGCCGATCAGCATCGGCTGCGGGACCACCAGCGGGAAGGAGAGGGCTAAAATGAGTATTAAATTAGATTGGTACAAAACGTTGCAAAACGAACAAATAATGAACATGCGGTACTTACGCGGGATATGGCGCACGGTGACCGGCATGTCGAACAGTTCGGCTGCGCCGACCAGCTCGCTTGTTCCAAAGTCCACGAGAAGAATTTGCATCTAGACGAAGTTTAAATTTTGTCCACGTTATTAAAATTGTCAAAAATTTTGATTTTGAGCTAAAAATCTAACACAAAAGATAAAAAACCACCCGCTAATACACCAGAACCGCTAACAAAAATAGTTACCTCAGCATCTGTTTCGCGGCTGAGCACCACCGCACGGTACCAGACTTTTTGGGGGCCGATTCGGGTCACAGCCAGGTCGCCTGGAAATAAAAGCAAATTAATACCTTCCTAAATGGTCTCTGCTAGCCTGCCCTCTCCTCTTCCTCAACAATCTCTGCTAGCCTGCCCTCTCCTCTTCCTCAACAATCTCTGCTAGCCTGCCCTCTCCTCTTCCTCAACAATCTCTGCTAGCCTGCCCTCTCCCTCTTCCTCAACAATCTCTGCTAGCCTGCCCTCTCCTCTTCCTCAACAATCTCTGCTAGCCTGCCCTCTCCTCTTCCTCAACAATCTCTGCTAGCTGGCCCTCACCTTTCCTGGGGTTGTTCAGCTTCGCGAGGGTCTGCGTGACGGCCAGCTCGCGGGGAATCCACTCGACCCAGTACTTGGCGGAGATGAGGTGCAACTCCAGCTGCTGCTCATCTAAAAAGAGAATAGCCATTAATTGAGCTGCAGTACCCCTGAAAGTAGAGACGACAGCATCGACATATTCGCCGGGTTGGGCCGGGATCGTCAGGGAGGGCAGCCCGGTGATCGTCCCCGTGGTGGCGCCGAGTTCGTCTAGAATTTCATAGGAGGAATTGTCCGAAAAAATAATTTATGGCAATTTTGGCATACGTAGCGAGAGAGCGAGAGAGAGAGAGAGAGAGAGAGAGAGAGAGAGAGAGAGAGAGAGAGAGAATGAGAGAGAGACCCACCGATTGCAGCAGCCGAAACGTCAGGAGGGCGAAGAACACCGAGCGCGGGAGCCGACGGCCTGACGGAAACGTCATCCCTGGAAAAAATGTGTCCTTTTAAAGTTGCAAGTGTCTAAATTTATTTTTCTAACTTTCTAGCATTTGAAAACTACTAAAAATCATAGAAAAATACACTATTTATTATTAACAGCTGGGCCAAAGGGGCAAAATTACTTTTCCGTCGGCTAAAAACGAAAACAAAACGAACGAGGAAGAGGATGATGATGCGCTGGCTGATGAAGACGTGGAACCGTTGGATGGGATGTACACTCGCCGCACCTCCGGAAAAATATCCGTCTGAAAATTAATCGCTTACATCGAATCATTGCGAACACGGGAAAGAGAGAGAGTGAGAGAGAGAGAGAGAGAGAGAGAGATGGTAAACAAGAGCCACGAACATCAAAGGACAGGCTCGTCGCCGTCGACGCGCTGCTGTGGTTCTGCGGATCGGGTTCGGCTGTTGAGCTCTGGAAAACGAGTGTTTGTACACCAATGAGAGTACAATGATAATTTTTGCCCCAAAAATTTTTATAAAAGGCTAGGAATTTCTAGTTACTTAAAGAAACAGCCAACTCGCAGCTTTTTATGAAAAAAGCCTTGTCACGGCCGGGGGGGTCGAACCCGGGCCTTCCGCGCAGCGAGCGAACACAAAACCACTGAGCCAACCGGCCGATGGGATCGACGAGACCCTGCTATAGCGTGGCGTGGACCGATTTCATCGAATTCGGAGGTGAATGTTTCTTTAAAATAAAGACGTTATGAATGTTTCGTTATTGTTTATTATCATCGATTAGATTTTTTATATTTTTGCAATGAGAAATTCGGTAGTTAAATTGGAAATACATTATAAAAGCTAAAAAAAATTTTAAAAGTCAGAATTTGGAATTTTGGTTAAAAAAACCAAGGCCACTTTTTTGTTCTTTCGAAAAAACGTTTCAAAAATTTGCGCGCCGTTTGTGAAATTGAGGATAGGAAAAAGCAGATTATGAGCATTTGCGCTACTTATATTTCAATGACTGGAACCGAGGAGATTTTTGGGCGCGGCGGATTTTCGGGGGGAAAAAGTGAGTAATTCGGAAACGGTTCTACCCGGGTTGACTGCTCCTTGGTGTCGTCCTCAAACAGCCCTTTCATTCCCTTCAGCGCCTGGGCCAGCGTTTCCAGTTGCGTCCCGTCCTTGTAGGAGCGGACAGCGTGAGGGACCTCGCCAGTTTCGCCGCGCCAAAGTCGGTGTACGTCGAGCTAAAATCTTTTGTTTGTCGAGGTCGATGTGGTGATCTTTTCAATAAGTCGAGTTTTTTTTGTTTAATCGTCTTTTTCGTAATAGTTCGCTTCTGAATAATTTTTTACAATTCCCAAACATGAAACCGTTACAAATTTGCACAAAAAATATTAAAACAAATCGATTTTTCGGCCGAAACTGGCCGAGTTTTGACCAAAATTTCGACTTTTTTAAAAAGTTTTTAAAGTTTTGTTGTAGTTGAAACATAGTTATGTAGTACTAAAAGCACTATTAAAACGCTTTCTATTAAGTTGATAGGCATTTCTAAATTTATACTAAACAGTTCGGTCCCCCCGTTAATGCGAAAGGACCATAGAGTCGATCTTTTCAATACTTACGATATTTCGAAAATATATCATTCGTCTTTTTGGGCCACCCTTTACAGCAACCGACCTTTTCGTACGGCTGGTTGGACGACTCCTTGGACAGCTGGGCATGCAGTTGGCGCTGGTGGCGTGGCGCTTGCTTCAGCTAAATGCGAGTCAAGATGATGAGGCGGGGAGCAGGATACGAACCTTCTCGGCGTGGGCCGTCAGCGCTTTCCTGGACTCGGCGACGCACTTGGCCACGCTCGCAATCTAACAAGGAGACGTTTTTGGGCGACACCCCAGTTTTGAGCAGCAAGGCCAAGCCTATCTTGTACCGCATTTGGCGCTGTTTCCTAATCGGTTTTCCAAATTTGCTTAACCGGCATTTTGAAGAAGTTACGGCTAAACTCCAGATAACCCTCCCCCCTAGCCGACCCCCACCTACCGTATCTCGGCTCCCCGTTCATCTACAGGTGTGTAAAGTATACCAAAATACTCGCCAGAGCAAGACGAACATTTTGGTGTACTTTACAGACCTGTAGATCAACAGGGAGCCGAGATACAAAAGTTGGGTGCCGGCTGGGGGGTTATCTGGAGTCTTACCGAAGTTACAGCGCATCTTCTCGGGGAAACAGCTTAACCCGTAAAGTTTAGGCTTCCAGAAAAATTCGAGAACCATTTTTGTCGTCAAAAGAACTTTGTGCGGACCCCCTGGTAAAGAAAAATATGCCCTTCCGAATGAGTGGTTCTTGCGTATTCCCGGGGGTGGGGGGCTCTTTTGCCCAAATCTCAAATTTTCCTTGATCCATTTTGCGAAAACGCGTATCTATTCCGTATATTTCCCCCATATAAAGTGTTTTCACGTTGTTTTAGCAAAATTGAACACTATTTAAATAGGAAAAGCTTTTTTAAAAGTTAGAAAAACGCTTGAAAAAGTCGAAAATTCAGTCATTTTTGTTCGAAAAAAATTGATTTTTCGACCTAAAATTAATTTTCTTTATTAAATTTTGTAAGGTTACATGCTTAGGAATAGCTATAAACAGTGCGGAAACAATTGTATTATTTATATGAAAAATCTAGGCTTGGGCCGGAAAAACTTTTATAAAGTTTTTGGAAATTTAGCAGATATAGAACGATGTGCCGTGACTTCTTCAAAATGCCGGTTAAGCAAATTTGGAAAACCGATTAGGGATCAGCGCCAAATTCTGCACAAGCTAGGCTTGGTTATGCTCAAAACTAGGATGCCACTCAAAAACACAAAATGTTTCAAAATACATATCCAAAAATTTGAGTTAGAACCGTTTAGTAGGAATTTTGGTCGATAATCGACGATTTTTGGAAGACTCAAACACTGACGTGGTCCTTGAATTGGCGTTGCTTCTCCTCTTCGGCTCGAATGCGCGTCAAGTCCTCTTCGATGATTTCTTCAAACTTGTCGAGGAGACCCATCAGATGCTGAAAAAGTGGGCGTGAAAGAGGATGCCATTTCCTGAAGGAACCGAGAATAACGTGGACTGCAAGAAGGGCAGAAATAGCGGGGGGGGCTACAATGACTGAGGGCAGTCATTATTTCTCTGGGTGCTTCAGGATCTTTGAAAAATCGGGAAAATCTAATTAAAATCCTACTATATATAAAAAAATAGTGTCTGTGTGTGTGTGTATATTTGCATGCAACTTCCGTAAGTATGTACCGCACCTACAGCCTCAGGGGAAGGTTTTGAAGGTACGTATGATACGTCATTAGGTGCGTAATGGTCCCGAGATGAGTGCACACATATAAAATTGAAGAAAATCGGCTGTTTTCGCTATTAAAATTAAGTTTTTGTAAATATATCGAAAAACCTCTTTGTTAAGAGGCAATTTGCATTGACCGGAAGTGGCCGCGTAGCCTATAAAAATGGAGGGAGCGTGCGCTTTTCATTTTTTGGTGAGCGGCATTCGGCAAGCCCTATGTAAAGTCAAATTTTCAGAAGTCCTAGACGGATCCAGGGTTGAAAAGCCGCGAAGCGGTTTTTCAACCCTGGTTAAAAATTAAAAATGTTTACATTTTCATTTCTAACTTTTTGACTTCAATTTAATTCTAATTTTGAACTTTTTCAACATAGCGCTTTTGTAAAGGGCTTCGTAATCAGCAGCAAAAAAAATTCTGCACCGGATGCGCAATTTCACGGCCACCCAGTAACGGTTACAGCAAGCGTTTCACATCCTGACCCAAATAACTAAGAAGAGAACATGCAAGAAAATCCTCAAAAACAAGCCTCGTCAAGTTCCTCCTTGGTCGGGATCTTGTGTAGTTGCTCAATCTGCGCGACGGCGTTGGTCACCGCATCCTCCCAATGGCTGCCATCCAGGCCATGGAGCACGTTGTTGTCGCCCATCAGAATGCCCTGCAACAAAATGCGTCCTTTAGGATTCGCGGGGCGGCGATTTAGACGTATTTAAAAAAATCGAAAATTATAAAAAATGTTGCTTCCCCCGGCTAGCAGAGATTGTTGAGGAAGAGGAGAGGGCAGGCTAGCAGAGATTGTTGAGGAAGAGGAGAGGGCAGGCTAGCAGAGATTGTTGAGGAAGAGGAGAGGGCAGGCTAGCAGAGATTGTTGAGGAAGAGGAGAGGGCAGGCTAGCAGAGATTGTTGAGGAAGAGGAGAGGGCAGGCTAGCAGAGATTGTTGAGGAAGAGGAGAGGGCAGGCTAGCAGAGATTGTTGAGGAAGAGGAGAGGGCAGGCTAGCAGAGATTGTTGAGGAAGAGGAGAGGGCAGGCTAGCAGAGATTGTTGAGGAAGAGGAGAGGGCAGGCTAGCAGAGATTGTTGAGGAAGAGGAGAGGGCAGGCTAGCAGAGATTGTTGTGGAAGAGGAGAGGGCAGGCTAGCAGAGATTGTTGAGGAAGAGGAGAGGGCAGGCTAGCAGAGATTGTTGAGGAAGAGGAGAGGGCAGGCTAGCAGAGATTGTTGTGGAAGAGGAGAGGGTCAGGCTAGCAGAGATTATGCTTGGAGGAAGAGGAGAGGGCAGGAGACAGAGATTGTTGAGGAAGGGTGGGGGGCAGGTACAGCATGAGATTGTTGAGTGAAGAGGTGAGTGCTAGGCTAAAGGAGAGACTGCTGAGGAAGAGGAGAGGGCAGGCTAGCAGAGATTGTTGAGGAAGAGGAGAGGGCAGGCTATCAGGAGATTGTTGAGGAAGGAGCCCTGATGCTAAAAACTGTTCAGTTACCGCAAATGTAGGCCGCGGTGCCGGTACAAACGGTTTCTTCAAAGCGTGCAGCTTCTCTTCCGTCTGGTCCCAACTTTGAAGGACCTAAGAAACATTCAGATTTGTTGAGCACCCGCTACAATTTTCTCTTCATGGCCGATGCGGTGAAGCAAGATGATCTGGCCGGTGAACAAGACCATAGTCTGTAAAAAAGAGCGTTGGATTCAAAAGGCTGTTTGCTAGTGCTCGTCTTGGGCTTGTTGCCATTAAAGAATACAGGCTAAACTTTACTGTACCCGGCTAAAGTCTAGGAAACCCCCTCCAAGCCGAGTTTTCAACTTTTCTACCTTCTATTTTGTCCCTATTTTTATTTTTCTCTGCTTTTTTTGGACTCAAATGAAATGTAGTCTTACTAATTAGCCTACTGCGAACATTTTGATATACTTTAGAGCTCGCACACAGCACAAAGGGGGGCCGGGTTACAAAAGCTGGTGCCGGCTGGCGGGGAGACTCTTACTCTTTATATATAGTAGGATTATTGTAGGCACAAATTAAAAATATTACTATATTTTGCGAGGCTCTATCGAATGGCGTTGCAAAAATCCCGACAAAATAAGCGAAAATACCGAAAATATCGCCGTACCAAGCCATGAAGCCTTAGGAACATGATGAATGCACCATCCCACAGCCACAAGTAGTTTGTCGCAAAGTCTTTCCTCGCCGCTCAATCGCTTCTTGTACTGTGGTGCCGATGGCTTGACGAGCTCGCTCGAGAATCAGATTCACGCGCTGCTCACGATCATCCACAGCTCTGGGATACTCCAGCGAACTGTTCACCTAAATTTGCTTTTAGACTTCAATCCTAAACTCGAGATCGAGCTACATGTGGACGTTGTCGTGGGAGGGAAGCCTCTACCCCAGCCCTCCTCCTCTTCCTCAACAAATCTCTGCTAGCCTAAATCCCCCTCCTCTTCAACAATTCTGCTGGCCTCGTCCCTCTCCTCTTCCCCAACAACCTCTGCTAGCCTGCCCCTCCTCTTCCCTCAATCACTCTCTGTATAGCCGGTTCCCCTCCTCTTCCTCAACAACTCTGTTAGCCTGCCCTCTCCCTCTCCTCAACAACCTCTGCTAGCTTTGCCCCTCTCCCTCCCCTCAACAGTCCCGTCTAGCCTGCCCCTCTCCTCTTCTCACAACAATCTCAGCCTCAACTCTCCCTCTTCCTCAACAACTCTGCTAGCACTAGTCCACATTCCCGCCAAAGCTGCACGTAGGTCTACGCATTAGTCAAAAGAGATCAAAAATGAGTCCGGAGCTGCTGTCGATCTCGTGTAATCACTGACGCGCTTCGAGCTGGCTGGGAGCGCGGTGGAGGGCCTCGCTGACGGGCACGAGTTCGCCGCCGTCCTTGTTGGAACACGCGAAGATCACTCGTCGCTTGATCACGGATCCGTCAGTGGTCGAGCCCATAAGTGAGCCTATAAGTCCGGAAAAATAATTTATGACAATTTTGGCATACGTAGAGAGAGCGAGAGAGAGAGAGAGAAAGAGAGAGAGCGAGAGAGAGAGAGAGCAAGAGAGAGAGGGAAAGAGATAGAGATATAGAGAAAGAAGGAGAGAGAGAGAGAGAGAGAGAGAGAGAGAGAGGGAGAGAGAGAGAGAGAGGGAAAGAGAGAGAGGGAAAGAGAGATATAGAGATATAGAGAAAGAAGAGAGAGAGATAGAGAGAGAGAGAGAGAGAGAGAGAGAGAGAGAGAGAGAGAGAGATAGAGAGAGAGACCCACCGATCGCAGCAGCCGACACGTCAGGAGGCGGAACATCACCGAGCGCGGGAGTCGACGGCCTGACGGAAACGGGATCTCTGAAAAAAATGTGTCCTTTTAAAGTTGGGAAAGTGAACAAATTTATTTTTCTAACTTTCTAGCATTTCGAAACCACTAAAAATCATAGAAAAATACACTAGGGTTTATTATTAACTGCTGGGCCAAAGGGCCAAAATTACTTTTCCGTCTGCTAAAAGCGAAAACAAAACGAACGAACGGTGAACGAACGAACGAAAAAACGAACGATGAAGAGCCAGCAGTCTGTTCCTCCTGAGATCCGTCGACTTCTGGCGAGTCATTGAGGGGGTTGGCGTCAGCGGAGCCTGATACCGCGGACACGGGGGATTCGATTTTCGCGCTGGAAACAGGGGTGGGGTTTCGCCGGCACGAACCCACAACGCAACGCCGAAGCAACGCAATTTATGATGATGGATTTTATTGATTGCTGAGTATGGCTTTGAAACGCGCCCGCGCCGAAACACGCGACGCAGACGCGGCCCTTCCCTTGTGTATATGTGACGACCAGCTCGCGTTTGCGGACGCGTTGCGTGTCGCCGCAAGGCAGAATCCATTTCAATGCAAGGCCTCCGAATCACTATATCACCTCACCGACTCGAATCCTAAAGACCGTGCCGCGACCGCGACACGCAACGCACGCGCTCACCCTGACACTGCAGAGCGGTACGGCTGATGCACGCCGGCCAAGCGCGTTGCGTATCCAAGTTTCTAAATAGCGTGCGCTTTGTTTGTCACGGCGGGCGCGTTGCTCTACTGGGTATTTCGTGCTGCGTTGCGTGTCGCGTCGCGTGCGTTCGCTGGGTGTCGAGTTGCATCTCGTGCTGCATCGCGTCGCATGCGATGCGTGGCACGACGTTGCGTGCATGCGTACCACGGGCCGTGCGTAGGTCGCGTGCGTCGCGTGCATTCCTGGCGTATCGCGTGGCGTGAGTGCGTTGCTTGTCGCGCGATGTTGCCGCTAGCTATCGCGGCGGCTGCGTAGCGATGCGTGTCGCGTCGCGTGGCTGCGTGCGCTACGTCTCGCGACCGGCGGGTTGCGTTGCGTCTCGCGCTGCGGCTACGTCGCTTGCCGCGGTGCGTGTCGCGTCGAGTCGCGTGCCGGCGTGTGGTGTGGCGCGTCGTGTGCGTGCGTTGCGTGCGTGTCGCGTGCGTGCGTTCGTCACGTCCAGTGTGCGGTGCGAGTCGTGTCGCGTCACGGGCGTCACCTGCGTTCGAGTCACCGCTTGATGTAGAACCACAACCTTTATATACTGGTGTAAAAAAATTGCAAGCAAAAAAATTCAACTTTATTCGTCGAAAAAGTCGGGCATCGAGTCTACAGAAAAACGGTGAATGTGAACAGTGCAGGATTTAATCGGATTCGAGATCTTTTTAGTGAGGGGAGCGGGGAGGGGTACGGTAGCCGGGTGGTGGGGGGCACGAAATAGAGTGAGGGGGGAGGGGACGTCTTCCACGGGTTCTTCATCCTCTTCTTCGACTTCTCGCTATTTCTTGTCCTCCTTCTTCTCATCCTTCTTGTCCTCCTTTTTCTCGTCTTTTTTCTCGTCCTTTTTGTCGTCTTTCTTGTCGTCCTTCTTCTTGTCCTTGTTCTTCTTGTCCTGCAAAATAAAAACACAGTAAAACCTCCAATCCAAAGTCTAGCCTTAAGCCCAAGCCTAAGCCTACGCCCGAGCCTAGCCTTAAGCCCAAGCTAAACCTAAGCGCGAGGCTGATCCTAAGCCTAAGCCTAACCTAAGCCCTAGTCTAAGCTAAGCCTAAGCTAATCGCTGCCAAGCCTAATCCTGAGGCTAAGTCCAACCTAAGCCTAAGTAAGTCTAAGCTAAACCAAATGTAAGCCTAAGCTCAAGCCTAAGCCTAAGCTTGAGCCTAAGCCCAAGCCTACTCACAAACCTAAGCTAAGCCTAAGCCTGAGATTAAGCCTAATCCTGGCTAAGCCTCGTAAAAATCGTGTTTCGCATAAATTCAGCCCTTTTCGGTCAAACAATTTTAATCCGCACCTCCTCCTGCTGGTCGAGGATGGCCTGCTTCTTCGCCTCGGCGGCTTGCTTGTCCTGGAAACCGGTTTTTAGACCGAAATTGCCTTGATAAAATTTGGAACGTAATTTTTAAACTATCTAAATTAAAAATTAAATTTACGAAAAATACCTCCTCGTTCTTCTCCTTCTTGGGCGCCTTGGCCGACCCTTCGCCTTTCTCCTTCTTTTTCTTCTCCTCCTCCATTTGGCGCATCAGGAACTCCTCCCAGTCGTACGGGTATTCCTGTAACAAAACTCCGATAAATTTTGCAGCTGTAATACTACGCTTAAGGGACCGGAAACCGACCCTAGCGTTGGTGCTGCGCATCCCCTGACGCAGCAGGTTGTACATCTTGGCGTAGTCGGGCTCGTCGAAGAATTTCGCCCCGTCGATCACCCTAAACGGAAACGTTTACTGCTGTATTTCCGACCGTTGTTAATGCCTTATTAATACTAAACTACAGGCTACAGTTTCCAGACTCGCAAATGACGGCTACCTCAAGACATCAATGTACTCGCGCGGGCAGCCGCCGAACAGCTGCTTCAGGCCCAGCTCGCTCATCCGCACGCCGCGCTTCGCGTCACCAATCTCGCGAATGTCCTGGAATTGAGTGGTGCGAGAGAGAGAGAGAGAGAGAGAGAGAGAGAGAGCGAGCGATACCTTCATATTGCGCCACGGCAGCGTGCCCTTGGTCAGCTCGACGAGCATGTACAGCCACGTCTCGCAGTCGTCCAGCCGGCACTGCTCGCGGTTCATGTGACAGGCCACCGGCGCGTACTTCACGGTTCCTTTAAAATGGGATTTTTCGTTGTTTGTAGTTTTCCTCAAAAATCTCTGCTCGTCTGCCCCCTCAAAAAATGATACCGTACCTCGGAAACCAGCGACAGCTCGTGGCTGCTTGATCGTCCCGTCGTCGTGCACGAATTTTCGGCACATTCCAAAGTCGAGAACGTAGACCTTTCTGAGCTCCTTGACCTCGGGGCGGCCGATGGTGTAGTTGCCGGGTTTGACGTCGCGATGGAGGTACCTGGAAAAGGCAGGCTAGCAAAGATTGTTGAGGAAGAGGAGAGGGCAGGCTAGCAGAGATTGTTGAGGAAGAGGAGAGGGCAGGCTAGCAGAGATTGTTGAGGAAGAGGAGAGGGCAGGCTAGCAGAGATTGTTGAGGAAGAGGAGAGGGCAGGCTAGCAGAGATTGTTGAGGAAGAGGAGAGGGCAGGCTAGCAGAGATTGTTGAGGCTCCGGACCCGATTCCATGCAGATCTTCGAGGGCCTCGAGGCATTGGATTCCGACGCTCATCGCCGTGCCGAGCGACAGCTTTTTGGCTGAAAAAAACGTTATGTATTAGGGTGCTTTAATTTGCCTTTACTGGCCCTTTAAGATCGCAAAAAGCTCACTAGGGGCGAGCGCTTTGAGGTCTTGTAGAGATCGGCCGACGAACGTCATCACGACGTAGTTGAAATTGTCGAGTTGGCCCTGGAAATGGAGGTGAGAGAGCGAGAGAGAGAGAGAGAGAGAGAGAGAGAGAGAGAGAGAGAGAGAGAGAGGGGGGGGGAGAGAGAGGGGGGAGAGAGGGCTAGAGATACCTTGTCCTCAATTTTGCAGAAATGTCGGCCGCCGGCCTTGCCCAAGTCGTTGAGCACGTACACCTCGAGCTTGAGCAGCTGGATCGCCTCGTTCTTGCCTTCGACCTAGAGAATGATGTTTTATAATCTGTATTACTTTTAGGTTTATTATAGGCATCTAATCTTAAGATACCTTAAGGGCAAACAAGTCGCCCTTTCCATTGTTGCAGCGGTAGACGGCACCGAAGGCGCCCTCGCCCAGCTTCTTCTCGATCACCCATTCGTTCACCTGAAAGGGGGACTTTTGCATTAGCGGGGGGGGGGGTAATTTCTTTAGTATCTATTTTTGAAAACAATATTATGTATCGATGTCTGTTTACTATCCTAAAAGTCGAAATATCACTTTTATCTAAGTGACCAAAAAATGCGTTTTTACAACCAAATGACCGATTTTCGCCCGAATTTATTATTTAGAGCTTCGAAACTCTATGTTTAAGTTGTTTTCTACGTCAAGAATTGCTAGAAAAATTTTTTACAAGATTTTTTGAAGTCAAAAACATCGAAACGATACCTTACGCCCGGGCTCCAGCAGAACTAACTCGCCCATCGCTTGTTGTGGTTGGCCGTCGTGTTATACCTCAAAATAATTTGACTCATTAGCTTTTATTGACTTCATTTTCCGAGCAATTTGCATCATTAATAATTAGAATAAAATAAATTTACCTGATATGCCTTCGAGAAATTCGCGGGGGAGTGGCGAGCACCGGAACGTCGGAACCCCCGTGGGCTGGCTGGCAGGAATGAAAATGGGGGTTTCCGTGCCGAATTTTGTAGTCTAGCCCCAGGAAAAGCCGTTTATCTACATGGTATGCAAATTATCATACCCAAATTCCCTAAAACATACTTCTCATTTTTTAAATTTCTCCTATTTCTGGCGACCATTTCAATTTTTGCCAAAGAATTTCTGCCAGCCTACCTCTAGCATTTTTCCGTTTCTGCAGGTTTTGGGGTTTTTCAGTCTGCGAGTCTCCAACCTGGCAGTCTGCCAGTTCCAAAAAGATACCCCCAACTCGACCGTTGCCCCCCGACTCGGTAGCCAATTAAAATCGCAAAATCTGGCTCTGATTCACCCCAAAAAAATCCCTGCGTTCCGATTTTTACTGCTGACCATCGCTCCCTCGATCTCTCTGCAAAAACCACAAGATTCTAGGCTCTAAAATGTGGCTAAAATTGTATATTCTAATTTCGCTAGTATACTGTACCCTGCAGAAGCAGATTCACGGCAGCTATCAGCCAAAATTATCCGCGAAACGGTTACGCTACGAATTTGAAAACCACATTGGGACGGATTACGCGGGAACGGTGGGTTTTTCCGCAACAATCTCTGCTAGCCTGCCCTCTCCTCTTCCTCAACAATCTCTGCTAGCCTGCACTCTCCCCTTCCTCAACAATCTCTGTTAGCCTGCCCTTTCCTCTTCCTCAATAATCTCTGCTAGCCTGCCCTGTCCTCTTCCTCAAGAATCTCTGCTAGCCTGCCCCTTTTTCAGCTCCGACGCCGCTTCAACCACTACCGTAGCTGCAAGAACAAGAATTTCTATATGACCAGGATCGCGTCCGCTTTGGTGAGTATGCTTTTTGGACTTGGGTCTTTCCCCATATTTTCATTTTGTAAAGCATTTATTTACACCAATTTAGGGCGCCCGATTCCAAAATAAGATTCCGATTTTGCGCGAAGCCTCTGCACCGCTTATCGATTTTTCACCGCCAAGATCATGCCTGCAATTCGCCAAAATGCTTCGCTTTCCGAGGAGAAAGTAGCATATGTAAGTCGATTTCTGGGGGCAAGCTAGCAGAGAACGTTGCGGAAGAGGAGAGGGCAGGCTAGCAGGGATTGTTGAGGAAGAGGAGAAGGCAGGCTAGCAGGGATCCTTTAGGACTTTTTCTTAAAAAATAAATTCCAGCTAAAAAACGCTTACAATTACTATCAAGTCTACTACGACAATGACGCTAATTACGCGTTGGTGGCCATGGTTTTTGAGTGGCAAAAGACGGTGAGTCTGGGCGATCGCAATGATTTTGTCGAGATTTGTCGAATTCCTGCCCAAATCGGTGTTTAGATGAAACAAGCCGATGCTCCGATTGCCTCTCGTATGAAAAAGGTAGTTTTGAAACTCCAAAAATTGCTAACTTCAAAGTTTTAGGGCCTGAGCTTTGAAAATGCGAAGCGAAATTTGATCGGATCGGTGCTGGGGGTAAGCTTAGTTTGAAAAATTATAGTGCTAACTAGATTAATTATTTAGAACCTCTACGACGGCGAATTCCCGAAGACAAAAATGATCAACGTGTACGAGACGCTCCAGTCACCCGATTTGTATGTCGAGAATTTTCGGCCCATCATCGAGGCGAGCAGAGATTATTGAGGAGAGCCTTCACATTATCGGGGGGGGGGGGGGGGTACAAAATTTAATGCCAGAATAATTTTTTGCCCCCCCCCCGATAATGATAAATAACCGAGGAGCGGCAGGCTAGCAGAAATCCTTGAGGAAGGCATCGTCTCCCAAAATAAGTGCGCCAAGTTTTATTAAAAACGCCAACGGCCGTCGAAGCAGCGGAAACAACAACGGAGAAAAAACTAGAGCGCGGACAACAAACTGACTACAAAATTCCAACATAATACGCCGTGGGCCCGCGGCAGGGTGGGAAAGTGGGCGAGCAGATTATTATACAAAACAACAAAAAAAACTGTTGGACCATCACTGAAAAAAATGTGGCTGACGTGAAAGATTATTAGCAAGGTGAAACTATGATCAGATTTGTCCATCCTATTACAACAACAATTTCAACGTTTTGGGAACGTGGGTTTCATGTATTTTCATGCATTTGCGGGCAGAGGAGACTCACAATCGACCGGGACATAATTTAGGGCGTTCTAGAGCGGGCCGAAAGGGTCCAGGAGGTGCGAGAAGTCTTTTTCCGGCTTGGCGTTGATGGCCGCTTCGTCTTGGGTGCTGCCGGCAGAACGGATGGATGCGAAATCTTGACTGTAGATGGTGCTCGTCGTGGCGAGGGTGCTGAGCGAGTCGTTGAGGTCCTGGCTGCCGAAAATTTGGGAGAAGCGGCTCGTTTCCTAAAACACCGAGTTTGAATAATGCCATCCAAAACCCACGCGGAAGTACTGCTTCGTCCTGTTGATGGCTTCCCAGCTGAAGACGACGAGCGGGATCGACTCGGGCAAGTAGCTCTGCTTCCGGAGCGTCTAGAAGCAAAAAAATGTATGTACAGGACGGTTACTGGGGGAATGAATTATTTTTCCATTTTTTTCCTAACAGCTTTAGAACAAAATACACCCGTTTTTTGTAGAATTTCGAACACTCTTTAGCTATAAACATCTCCAAAAAAATTCGAAAATCTTTGCCTTTTTGACCAAACATGTACGAAAAATCGCCAAAAACGCAGAATTTTCGAATTTTTACCTTTAAAGAACTTTTATCAATCAAAAAACACTAAAAAATACATTATTAATTATCAACAGAACGAACGCGGCCGAAAAAAAAACAAGAATTCGTTTTCCCCGGGCCCAAAACTTCAACGAAATCGGGATAAAACCACACCTTTTCATACATTTTGACGAGCTTCAGACAGAGCGGCCGCGTAGCCCCTTCGCGCACCTTGGTCCTTGCCGAAAGTTTGGCCTCGAGCTGCTGCAGGGAGCACGGCTCGTAGAAAACCTAAAAGAATATGACATTTAAAAAAAACAAGCTTTACCTTTGAATATTCAACCAGTGTGTTCGAGACCAGCACAGCCGCGTAGGCCACCTCGAAGTTTTTCCACTCGCGGCTCCGATCGTCAAGAACGGCGAGGAAGATGAGGAGCTAAAAAAATCCATATATAAAGGGCGTCAGAAGGCATCGGTCGATCCCCCTTGGCAGGCAGTCCGACTTTTCCTGGCGTAATCGATTGAATTATGCAGTCTGGATCAGTTTAAATAAGCTTACATCAGATAGCTCGACGCAACGTTCTGTACTCTCAGCGACGACGGTGTGCATGTAGGTCGTGAAGGTGTACGGTGTCGCAACGGTGAGACGCCAGCTGGAAAAATATTCTATAAAACTAGAATTACGATAAGACGCTTTAAGTATTTTATCTAATTTTATTTTGGTTTAACTCAATTATTTATCCACGTCCAGATTTTTGTATCCCGATTTCCCTTTGCGCTACAAGGCTGTAAAGTATTCAAAAATAATAAAGCCTTTTTATAGCATTTTACCCAGTTTTAGGTATCAAAGCTCATGAAAAAATTGTAGCAATTTCAAAAAGCTTTGACTTTTTCGTGAGAATGAAACAAAAATGCCCAGAAAAGGTTAAAAAAACTGTGAACAGTTCCTTATATCTTTCTAGCAATCAAAAAATACGAACAGTGGTGTAAAGCTGCAAAAAAAGCGGGTGACAACTTTTTGGATTCTTTTGTTTTCAATATTACGAACTTCAATGCATGCAGAAAAGTATCCTCGAGCTGCGCCAATTCGCGAACGGAAACGTTGGTAATCTCGCAGATCCCATCGCGTGCCACCTTTGAGAAACGGATGCTGCTGTACTCTTCGCATTTTCTAAAACAAACTTATGAAAAATCAAAAAATATCCCTTACGATGCAGTGACGAGGGAGACGGCGGCAACTTGGAAGAAGGCCTCGCGTTCGCAGAGCTGCAGCGTCGACCAGATGGCGTCCATGTAGTGGGCGGCGAGGTGGAATGTTTCCTGAAAATCACAAAAAAATACTTTTACTTTATTTTTTGCCTTATTAAGTGTTACTCTTTAGTCTTAGGATTTGTATGCTCCCCGCCCAAAAAACAACGCAATTATCGGGACGGAATGGATGAAAAGAAAAATGGTCAAATCCCTTCCACATCGAAAATCGATCAACCAACTTTTCCAGGCGGTCTAGATTGGCCTATTAATCGATCATAAAGGGTATCTTTATTGATTTTAGTAAGCTACAATTATATTTGAATTAGCAAAGTTCAAAAAAGCTGGAAAAAGTAGTTATAAAAGTCGAAAATTTGATTATTTTAGTCGAAAAACCAATTTTTTGACCTAAAAGAAAATTACAATAAAATTTGCACGGTTTCTACGCACAGGAATAGTTAAAAACAGGCTAGAAACGGATCCGCTATTCATAAAACATCTAGCCTTGCTTAAAAAAGAGTTGGTTTCCGGTTTTAGGAAAAACCGGACAGCAATTGAAGGTGAGTCAAGAAACGGAAAAAATCATGCCAAACCTTTAGGAGGATACCTTTTTGCACTGCAGAGCGTCCGACGCCACCCTAGCCCGCAAAATGGCCGCCCGGCGCATGAAGCTCGCCGTCTCGATGCCCAGCATGCAGCTCTGCAGGAAATGCGGGCGAATGGTAGGCGCATCAAGCTCCCGTTGCCGAAGGGCAGCATAGATCTAAACGAAAGATTGCATAAAAATTGCTAAAATCACATCTTGGTGGTACTCCTTGTTGGTGAGGTAGTCGTCGCTGGGGGTCGGCTGGGAGAGGTGGGTGCGGCAAGTTGAGAAGAACGACGAGTCGGTCAGGCTCTCGCTTGGCGACCCTTCTTCTTGGGACCTAAAAACGGGTGTTTTTTTTGTCTCGTTATCGCTGACCAACAGTTTTGCAATAAAAACCCTCTAACTCGATGCAGAAGTATCGGATCGAAATGATAGTTCCACCATTCAAAAGCCCTTGAAACGGCGAGTTTGCAACTATCTTAAAAACGATGTGTTTATTTAAACGCGTATCTTACAACGCATTTAAAACATTGAGGAACGGCCTCGGCATAGAATTAACGGCTATTTCCGGCCATTTTGCTTGAGGAAGTTGAGGCAAAATTAGCTGCAACCCCGAAAAACCTCAAAATTTTACAAAATGGCTCGCAAAATACGGGTTAAAGAAAAAAATGACGTTGAAGATTGCTGCAAAATCGCCGTTTCCGAATGGTGTAAGTCTCGTTTCGATCCGATACCTTTGCGCCGATTTCGAAGGGTGTTTTTCGTTGAGACATTTTGTAGTCTGCATAAGCAAACTGTTTTAGGTCCCCGGATAACGATCAAGCACAAAACAAGCTGAGTATAAGAAAAACTTTTACCTTCCGTATCCAGAGTCGCCCGACGAGTAGCTGCTCTGGCCGAGGAAGCCATTCCTCCCGCCCAGCCGCGCCCGCTTCGTCGGCTGCGTGAAGTCGCCGGGTTCGACGCTCCGACGCTTGACCTAATAAGCCCCAGAATTGAAAAGAAAACATCAGTTCACTGACCAAGCAGACCGGCTGCGGCTGGGAGTGCGAATGGCGCGGGATCGGCGGCGATTCTAAAAGAAGAGAAACTGTTTTCTCGCAAAGGGAAAGTTATACCTTCAGCGCCTGACGAGTAGGAGGCTTCACCCTGAAAAAAAGAAAAAGGTATAGAATTTGAAAAACGAAAACCACCTCGTAGGGAGAAGCGAAGGGCGAGGGGCACGGGATCGAGTAGGAGGCGGACGGCATCTTGTTGGGGTGCCTGAAGAAAGAAAAACAGATAAAATCTTTAAAGTAAGGAAAAAAGGGTTGAGAAACATAAGAAAAACAAGATAAATGACTGTGATAAAGAAAAGGCTTGCCTAAAAAAGAAAACGAAACCGAAAACTGTTTTCAGCCGAAAACCAGCGGGTTTGGCGAGGGCTACAAAATAAGAATTAAACGTAAAACTACTTAAAAAAGTTATAATTATCATTTTTGCCTACATAAAGAAAAATAGTCGAAGGTAAATAAATGAAGTGAATGAAAAACAGATGGTGCTAAAAATGAAAAATGGTTTAAACCAGCCGAAAATCAGCCGAAAATAAAATAGTTTCCTTGCGGCGTGACTATCGCGCGGAATAAAATTTAAAACGAGAAACCCTTTTTACTTTTATTATTTTCAAGACATTTATCTTAATACAGAAAATAGTAAAAAGATGAAGTGAAAGGAGAAAAGGTCGTGAAAGGATGGAGTGAAAGAAAAACAGATCGTGCTAAAAACGGAGAAGGAACCAGGGCAAATATTTTCAGCCGAGAACAAAAGTAATTTGCGTGTCACGCGGACTACAAAATAAAACTAAAAACTCTTTTTACCTTACAAATTTATAATTTTTTACATTTTTTACCCAAAATTATGCCCAAACAAACGTATTTACCGCGATTTCCCTAAACAAATAGCTGCGACGGGCGCGCGGCGGCGTTCCAGCTAACCCAAATGGACTCCACCCGGCTGTTGAAGCCGCGCTGGAACAGGTTCGGCCAAATTTTGATTTTTATAACTGTTCTAAGCTTTAGAAAACGATGTCAGCTGGCCAAGTGGATGCCGGGCCTCGGGACGGTGTTGATAATCTTGTTGCTGCTCATCATCTGCTGCCTGCAAAATGAGCGCAGCTACTTCTCGACCCTCGTCCAGGCCTTGACAATGTTCGACGCCCGGTTTTCGAGGCGGATTTTGGGCAATGAGGAGCCGTTTGTGTTCGTTGGTTGGTTAATTTGTGAAAAACCCAGATATTTATAACGCTTTAATGAGACAGATTTTCGCAAAGTTTGTTTTTGTATAAGCCTAGAAGCGTCTAGTAACTTAATAGTGAGTGTTTTAATATTATTTTTAATCAAATAAAACTAATTCAACTAGAGAACTATCTCAAAAAAAATTTAAAAATGAAATTTTGGCTAAAAAACGCTCTCTTTGGCCGAAAAATCGATATTGCACTTTTTAAAATTTAATTTTTTTTTAACTTTTTACGTTTAGGAATAGTAAAAAAAAAGTTTAGAAACACTTCGGCTTTTTATATTTGAAAAATTGGATGCTACGAAAAAAATTTCGCCCCCACCCGATAATGCGAAAGATTCAGTTTCATAACTAGGAGAGCGATCTACCCTAGAGAGATATAGATAAAATTGATAAATCAATTGTGCCTGCTTCATTGTTTTGCTAAAAGCGGATTTGCTATTCAGGCGGGATGCCCCGATCCGGAACGACGCTAATGAGAGCGATGCTGGACGCACACGAGCGGATTAGATGGTAGGCGAAAAAAGAGATTCTTGAGATCATACGTTTTCCGCGGAGAAGAAACGATGGTGATCCCCTGGATTCTGAAAAGCCATGAGGAATGGGTGAAGCGCCGGGGGATCACGAAAGGTTTCCAATTGCTGAAAAATATTTAAGATCCTATTTAGGAAGCGGGCTATCCGAAAAAGTGCTTGATGAAGCTGTGTCGGCTTTTATCTCGGAGGTAAACGCTTTCTGCAGTCTGAAAACGTTTTAGATTATAACTCGACACGGCACCCTCGCGCCGAGGCTTTGCAATAAGGACCCATTCGCATTGTTTTACGTCGACTATCTCGCTGATTTGTTCCCGGAATCGAAGTATATTTTGATGCTGCGGTGGGTCTAGAAGAAGAAGAACAAGAAAACGTCAATTTCAGAGATGCACGCGCGACGGTCCATTCTATCATCACGCGAGAAGTCCCGATCAGCGGGTTTAATAGAACGAATTATGAGGTATGAATGATACCGTATGATCTAAACTACTTCTAACTCATCAAAACTAATTTCTAAAAGGTTTTTTACTATTCCTAAACGTGAAAACTTTACATTTTTTTTATTAAAAAAAGATCGATTTGGCCAAAATTTCTGCTTTTTTCTAACATTTTTCAAATCTTACATGGTTTTTCTAGATGAAATATAGTGGCGTTTTACTAAAACCACTAAAAAAAAGCTCCGAGTTAGTTGCTAGACATGTCTAGACTTATACAAAAAAGTTCAATCCCCCCCCCGCTAATGCGAAAGAACCGGCTTTTTCATTAATCTAAACGTTCAAGCGCAACATATAAAAAAAATATTTTAGCAATGCTTCCAAGCCTGGAACGGCAACATGCGCAAGCTGGTCAGCCAATGTCGAGGGGCCACCGGGCGATGCTTGATGGTATTTTTCAGAATTTTTTTGCGTTATAAAATTTACTAAATCAGACGTTAAAAAGCGCTTTTATTGTAAATAGGTCCACTACGAATCACTGGTGCAATCGCCGCGCAAGCAGATGGCGGAAATCTTGGCGTTTTTGGAGGAGCCGTGGTCGGAGAACGTGCTGCAACACGAGAAATTTGTGGGCGGCGAAGTGATGCTCAATCCGTACGGGCTTTAATTAAAAAAAAACACACACAATTGAGATGCTTATTTCTACGTTACTAGGCAACACTGAGATTGCAGAAAAAATTCCGCCCCCCCGATATTGCAAAAGATTCATTGAAGGGATACAGGTTCATTAGAGGGCTATGTTTCGCAAAATTGCGACTCCCAATTTGCTGGAGGTTTTTTATTTTCAAAAAAGTTTAAAGTACGTTTATAACTTTCTAGCCATCGAAAACCGCTAAAAACAACTCTAAAAACGCTGCAGATTATAAACAGGTATGGGCGGAAAAACAAAGTGGTCCGTCTCTTCCCCCCGCTAACAGTCCAGGACCCAATTTCCCCATTTCCAGGAACGAGTTCAGCACCAACCAGGTGGTCCAAGGAGTCAACCTGAAGGCAATGACAGCTTGGAAGGGATTTTTCAATGACGAATTGCTGGGGAAAATCCCGAGGCTGGCCCCGATGATGGCAAGTCTAGGTTTGTGGCTTCTCCTCAGGCTTTTAAAAAGCCCAAAATCATCCTCACCGAGGATCGAATCCGGGCGATGCGCCTAGAAAGTTGAATTTTATCGTTAGGCCAGCTGGTCGTCAAAATACAAATATTTTTAGGCTACGACCCATTCGATCTCGATCCCGACTATACGAAATGGGCCCGAACGACAAATCAACCTTGAAATAAATATTTTATTTTGAAAATGACAACCCATAAATGCCAATGGTACTGTCGAATTATTAGGGGCAAAACCAACGTTTTTTTGGTATCTAGATTTTCTAATACAAATAAGTTTTTTTTACTGTTTCTTTACTATTACTCAGCACCGGAACTTTCTAAATACCATTAGAAAATAAAAATACTTGCAACAATTTTTCAAAAAGGCGGCAATTTTATAAAAATAAAATGGGCCATTTTTGGTCGAAGAATCGGCATTTTTTCAGGAAAATTTGTAACGTTTTTACGTTTTTGGGAATAGCAAAAACCGTTAGGAAAAACTGCCACTATTTTTACTTGAAACATTGGATCCTAGAAAAATTTTTTTGTCCCCCGATAATGCTAAAGAACCGACACCTCTTTTTGGTATTTTTACAAATTAAAATACATTTTATTTTCTATTTATTGTCCATCGCTTTTCGGCTTCACGTTCCCTTGAATCGGCCGGAAGCCGGTGATGTCTGTGCTCTCCAGCCCCCACCCGCTCTCTCGCCACCCTCAGAACCAGTGGACAATCCACCGTAGTCCGCTATAGCGTGGACCCTTTTCGGAGCCGGGCGCCCGGGGCTGCGTCCCTTTTTGCGGCACTCTTCGATTTTCCCGCCCTTGCCCCGTACCAGCCCGCGCGTTTCGCAATGCGACCTCGCCCCGCCGACCCCCGACCCCGCAAATTTTCTGGCCCAAACCCGCCGCAATTCCGCGCTTTTCGCACCATTTTCACTTTTTTGCAGCTATTTTGCAAAAGTAATTCCAATTTCCTTGAATTTACAATACTCTGCCTGTCCTCTTTCGTTTATTTTTTGGCGCTTGAACTCTTTCTGCCTGTCGTGGGGCTGGCTCACCCTGGGCTTCACAAATTTTTTTCGCCCGGATTTCTCTCAGCCCCGGGCTGTCCCCACCCTTTTCCCTTGTCTTTTCCAAAACATTTTCCCTTGATTTACAGTACTCTCATTGCCCGCCTTTTTGGCTGTTGGCGGTTATCATCTTTTTTTTGGACGTTGTGTACTTTCTTGCTTCTAATTTTACCCTTTTTCAGCCAACCGTCATCATGCGCGAGATCGTCCACGTTCAGGCCGGCCAGTGCGGAAACCAGATCGGCGCCAAGTTCTGGGAGGTCATCTCCGACGAGCACGGCATCCAGCCCGACGGTTCCTACAAGGGCGAGTCGGATCTGCAGCTCGAGCGCATCAACGTCTACTACAATGAGGCCAGCGGTCAGTTACTTTTCCAGGTTTTTATTTCGCGTTCTTGACACCTTTGCTTATCAGTTTGCCGGCCATGCTGAGTAATCCGCTCATACCTGCAGCGCCGGCAGATCGATATGGCCTTAAAATTTTTAATGACAGTTTGTTGTACAAGGAATGGTGGAGTAGACTAATTTATTTTTTTCAGGTGGCAAGTATGTTCCCCGCGCCGTCCTCGTCGATCTCGAGCCGGGAACCATGGACTCTGTGCGCTCCGGGCCATACGGGCAAATCTTCCGCCCCGACAACTTCGTCTTCGGGCAGTCGGGCGCTGGCAACAACTGGGCCAAGGGACACTACACCGAGGGAGCCGAGCTCGTCGACAACGTCCTCGACGTCGTGCGCAAGGAGGCTGAAGGCTGTGACTGCCTGCAAGGCTTCCAGCTCACCCACTCCCTTGGAGGAGGAACCGGTTCCGGAATGGGCACCCTCCTGATCTCCAAGATCCGTGAGGAGTACCCCGACCGTATCATGTCCTCCTTCTCGGTTGTGCCTTCACCAAAGGTAATTTTTGTTTGGACGGCATTATATTTTTGTTTTAGGTCTCCGACACTGTCGTCGAGCCATACAACGCCACCCTCTCTGTGCACCAGCTCGTCGAGAATACCGACGAGACGTTCTGCATCGACAACGAGGCCCTATACGACATTTGCTTCCGTACCCTGAAGCTCACCAACCCCACTTATGGCGATCTCAACCATTTGGGTAAGGCTACATTTGGTTTAGTTTTATCTTTGCTTTTAGTCTCGATGACGATGTCCGGCGTCACTACTTGCCTCCGCTTCCCTGGACAACTCAATGCCGATCTCCGCAAACTCGCCGTCAACATGGTGCCCTTCCCTCGCCTCCATTTCTTCATGCCCGGCTTCGCCCCGCTCTCCGCCAAGGGCACCGCCCAGTACAAGGCTCTCACCGTCGCCGAACTGACGCAGCAGGTATAATTTTTGGTGGCGCAATATCGTTGTACATGTGTTTGTAGATGTTCGACGCCAAGAACATGATGGCTGCCTGCGACCCTCGCCACGGGCGCTACCTCACCGTCGCTGCCATGTTCCGCGGAAAAATGAGCATGCGCGAGGTTGACGACCAGATGCTCTCGGTGCAAAACAAGAACTCGTCCTACTTCGTGGAATGGATCCCGAACAACGTCAAGACGGCCGTGTGTGACATCCCACCCCGAGGGCTTAAGATGGCCGCCACCTTCGTCGGAAACTCCACCGCCATCCAAGAGCTGTTCAAGCGCATCAGCGAACAATTTACCGGTAAGTGTCTTGCTTTTAGCTTTTACTAATTTTTGCTTTCAGCCATGTTCCGTCGCAAGGCCTTCCTCCATTGGTACACGGGCGAGGGCATGGACGAGATGGAGTTCACCGAGGCCGAGTCGAACATGAACGATCTGGTCTCCGAATACCAGCAATACCAGGAGGCCACCGCCGACGACGAGGGCGAATTCGAGGGAGACAACACCACCGGCGCCCAAGATTATGAATGATTTATAAAAATATTGAATTCATTTAATTTAATGCTATGTTTTACCCGATAAACGTTGCCGCTTCTTATGTTGTGTTTTTTTCTGATGTATAAATGCGAGAATCATCGACAATTTATCCTTCCTTCGCACTCAAGGCAGACGTTTGATAACGGATATAAGTATATATTCACGGAAACGGACATATCGAGATATCGGCCTATGTTTGGCACGGTAGCGGGCTGTGAAGGGCTATGCCGGAAAGGGGGGAAGAAGGAGAGGTCGACTAGATTAGCGAATTGTTTCACCGGGCGGGGAAAGTGGGTGCAAGGGAACTATTGCGAAATGCAGGGGCGAGGAATATTTGACGGGTTGTTGCGATGGTGGTGGGAAATGGTTTGTTGAGGATTCTCGGGTACTGGACTGTTAGCGGGGAGGCTATCTTTTAGACATATGGCCTCATAGGGCTCGGTTGATGACATGCACACTTTGCACGTTGCTTTTTACTTTTTTGATTAATAAAGTGTAAAAACTATGAACCTTTCTAAAAAATTTGATTTGTAGTCGAAAGTTTAAAATTTATCTTTTCCAAATATTTTTAGGACTTCTTATCTAATTTAGCACTACTAAAAGGACTAAAACGCTAACGGAAGCGGACGGATAGCTCCCCCCGCTAACAATCCAGTACCGATTGTCAAAGTGCAGTGGGCAGTGGATCCGGCGGCGGCGTCGGTTGATTATTAGGAGGAATGAGGGGGAAGGGAGTAGGGATGTAGGAAACCAATAGCAAACAAGTTTGAATTGCGAGGGGGAGATGATCTGGGTCAGCGATGCCCTGACATTGTTTTGCGGGTAGGCCAACCCGAACCATTCGGCCCTCAAAGCCCTAGTTGGGGAAGGCCAGAAAGTCGGTAATCAGATTTGGGGTCGAGTTGGCACAAATCTAGAGTAGAAGGTCATCACCAAACTTTTGAAAGTTGCCATTGGCTTTTTTAAAATCGATATATTTAGGCTTGCAGGCAGATCTAGCCTATTTGAAATACTATATTTTTCTGCCTTTAGGCGTAATTACAACGCGTCTAGGGTCCAGTAGTGAATTCAGAAAGCTTCACGTTGATCAGATTAGCTAAAAACTTATATTTTTCTATCCGATGCTCAGCTTAGATAAAATTTTATTCTTTCTACCTTTGGGCTTAAATATATCGGGTTTTAGAGGGTAGCAACGACTTCTAGAAACTAGGCGATGATCATCCTAGTGAAAATCTTGTATTTTTCTATCTTTCGGGTTTGTTCTATCGTGTTTTATAGGTGATCCACGACTTTTTGGAACGATACGGTAATCAGCATCATAGACTCCAGATATGTGCCAATTTTTAGCCCGATTCGAACGAGACTTTTCTGACCTTCCCCGGGGATACGACCAAAACCTTGTGTGGCCGCAGTCAATTTGTCAGCATACCCATATGAGCGAACAGGTCACGAGATATCAAACCACAACGGAATAGCGCATAGAAATATTGAAATTAATGACATTTGAAAATGAAGACGTTGAAAGACGGGTTGAATGCGGACCTTTGTTGAGAGGGGGCATATATGAGATTATCAACGGGGTCGAGATGATGAGGTCTGAGAAATGCTATTGCTTGCGGGCTGTGGTGGCCGGCTTGGTGTGCCGGTTGAAGAAGGCACGGACCCGTCGCGCCGCCCCGCCTAGTCACACCATCAGGGCGACGCTGTCCTTCTTCGCATTGTCGTCGAGCTGAATGGGTTGGTTGTTTAATAATAGTAATTGTTAGTAAATTATTATTTCGTAATCGTTGAGTGATTGGACGATTTTCTAGATTTTTTGAAGTTTTTTGAATCGGCTGGCCGTTTTTTGAGAATTGGCAAGCCAGTAAGCTCTATTTTGCGCCTCTTTAGGCCCCAGTTTGATCTCCTGACGGGATCAGCTTTTCGGAAATTCTTCATTTTTATGCCATTTAATTTTAGGTGCTTTCGTAGTATCGAGGAGGGGGGGTACTTTTTTTCGTAGAAGTCCAAGACTGCCTAGTATAGTACGCCTTGTTTTAGTTTTTATTAGAAAAATAAACTAAATTTCAAGTGTGGAAATTATCTAAAGCCCAAAAATTCGGATTTTGCTGCAAAATGGACATTTTTGGCGGGAAAACATGGACATATGGACATTTTTGGCCCTGAGTAGTCCCCCCGATAATGCGAAAGAACCAACGGTAGTATTCGCTTAAATTTCATATATAATTTAGTAGGACTACAAACTTCAACGCCAACCTTCAAACACCCACATTGCTCTCGGCGGCGGCCGTCGGGTCCTCTTGGTTGGGGCTGCTGATGGTGACGACGGTCCGCCGCGGCTTCACACGGCCAAGGGCGCTGGCTGGCCGAGTGACTGATTTCTAAAACCAGGGAGTATTTTTATGATTTTGAATTTGATAGTTTTTGAAACCAAAAATCGTGTCGGCAGCGTTTTGGGGGAGGATTTGTGGGGGGAAATAAATGTAGTTTTTTTTGCTGGCAATAGTTTTTAAAAGGACTGGGAATGGGGTGGAAACAGGTGGTTCAAATTGTTCTAAGACTTTTTATTTCTATATATTTTCTAGTGTATTTTTGTGCATCCTGGTGTTTTTATTTTGCCAAAAATTTTCTACAAAATTGAAACCGCCGAAAAGTAATGTTTTGCTAAAGCCAAGTTTCCCGATTTCCTGCCTTCACAGTCCCTTTAAAATTAGCAGTTTGATGCAGTGCATAGCTCTTCGTAATTCGGGGTAAAGTTGCGGCGTTGTGGCGTTGAAATGAGAGAGTGTAGGGCGATCAAGCGGCAAGCTTGAAATTTTCCGGTTTTCCGGAAAACCGGGGGTTTATTTGCACTACCTGATCAGGCGACGGCGTTCCTGCTGAGAAAATGGGGCGGTTAGTAAAAGGAACAGTGCTTTGGCAATATCGAGGGGCGAAGCTTTTTTATAGTCTAGAAATCCCTATCAACCTAATTGGAAGTATTTTAATAATGTTTGTAGTAAAATAAAACTAGATTTTAATTAGAAAAACTACCTAGAGCTTGCAATCATTTTCAAAAATGGTTTTTTGGTCGGTAAATCGTTATTCTTTTTTTGTAAAGTAAGCAATTTGTAAGGTTTTTACGTTTAAGTTTGGTACAAAACGGTTTAGCATTCGCCCTTTTTTAAAAAATAGTTTTTGATAGTATTTAGCTAGATGGCTAATTGAAAGGTATTTTGAAACCTTAGAAAATGTCTATAATTTTGTCGAAAATCGGGAGGATTTTGGAAGAAAAGGTTTTTAAATCGCTTATTATAATTTATTGAACTTTTACTTTTACGAAAAGCATAATCCGCTTCAGAAACACTTCTTTTTTCCTAAAAATTTATTTTAAAGAAGCTGAATTTTAAGAAAAAGCCTACCACCCCCGATATTGCCAAAGCACCAAAGGAAAATACACATTAATGGGTTAGCGAAGCTAGAGGGTAGCCTAAACATGTCAACATACAGTAGCGGCTCCGGGGACACTCGGCGCGCCCGTCGAATCCGTGTTGAGCGACCGGTTGGTGCTTTGCGTACGGTTGAGGCGAAAGCTACCGCCCGTCCTGAAGTTGGTTTTATTTAATGCATTTAGGTTTCATTAAATCAATTAAGTTTCTCTCTCTCTCTCTCTCTCTCTCCTCTCTCCCCCTCTCTCTCTCTCTCGTTCTCTCTCTTTCTCTCGTTCTCTCTCCCCGTCTCACTCCCGCCCGCTCTCTCGCTCTCTCCCTCACTATCTCTCTCTGTCTCGCTCTCTCTTGGTGACTACATACCGGTGGCTGAGTATCCGCCCCAGACGAGCATGAGTATTCGGTTCAGTGCCACCACCGCCAGGGCTCTCGTGCCGTTTTCGGCGGATCGATTGGGCCCTAAAACGTGGTCTTAAAGTTATGTGATTCATAATAGATAGGTCTCAGAATATCGTGAAGACGCTTCCCGATGTCATAGTCGTCAAAAATTTCCCAACCCACCTGGCAAAGCTTATCAAGCTCGAGTCTTCGTCTATCAAATTCTCGGGGTGTTGGGAGAGGTATCTGAAAAAAACTTAAATAATATCGCGATTTTCAGGGGATTTTCTTCTTTAAAACGACTTGTTTGGCTTAAAAAGTCGCGGCGATTCTATAAAAATTGATGTTTCTCTCAAAAAATATGCGTCAGATTATTTATCTTTATAATGCCCTGTTGTACAGGATTTTCAAGGAGACAAAATTTGCCTTCAATGGCCCTTAAAAAGACTAACCTTTTCCATAGCGCGTCCGTGATCTCGGTGCAGAACATCACCCCGGCGTGCAGGGCAATCATCCGTAAAACTAACACCCCATCGACCTGGAAAATTGTGGATTTTCAGGTTTTCAAATAAGTTTCGGAAAAGTTAAAATTAATAAAGCTCATAAATTAAAAAACTATACTAACACTCGATCGCATTTGGCTAAAATTTAATTAAAATCGCAAAAAGAAATAAACTGCCCGGACGATCAAACGCTACAAATTATTGCACTTTGATTTAAATAGACCGATATATTTATCATAGAACAAAACAATTAAAAATGAATTTCGCACTTTTGCGTTCCAAGGTAGATGTATTAGAACTAGATCAACGATTATTTTATTAGCTACTTCATCGCAGCAAAAAAACACAAAATTTTATGTTTCGCATAGGCTTGCCGATCTTTAGTTTCTTGCTGCGACATTGAATAGCAGTTAGTGCATAGATTCACGCCAGCCTTTAAAAGAGGATCGGCCTCTTTATTATTTATTTTCCTATTTAAATTTAAATAAATCTATGGCTTTTACAATAGAAAATTCTTAAAAACCGCACATTTTGCGCAAATTTATGTTTCATACTGAAAGGTATAAAAAGTTTTTTTAATCAATCAATTCGTGCGCGGGAATGACGGTAAAATTTTAATTTTCTATCTGGTTTTTATTTTATTTTTTTTAATATGTCGTTAATCTTAGTTTTTCCTTGCGTTGTTTCGCCATGTCATCCAATACCTTCAAATAGGTCCTCAAAAAGTGCTCGACTTGTTTCCGCTTCTCCTTCCTGAACAGCTCGGGCTTGTCGGGGTCGCTGGTCAGCTCCAGGTGCCGCAGCACGAAGCGGAACCTGTATCGAAGGGGGTAGACTACAAACCACAGACTACAAACTACCTGTCCCGGTGGAAAAGCGAGATGCTGAACCAGTAGAGCATGTCGAGGGTTGAGGCGATGAACAGGAGCGTGAACCACAGCCAAATGAGGATGAAGATCTTCTCGTTGAAGATGTTGATCACCAGCACGCACTGAAAGGATAGAATTAGAGGCGATGTTTGCGAACTAGTTTTATAAAAATTACTGATTTTTAATTTTCTTGAAAAATATTTACCTAGAAATAAAAGTCTAAAATTGTGTTTTCAAATATGCTAATTTTTGGCGGTTTCCGATGCATTTCAGGAATACTATGTTCAATGTTTCCGTGAATAATGGGTGCCTATTTTGCGACTTTTTAATTTTTTTCCGAAACATATTTTCCGGAAATAGATAAAGTAAGCGAAACGGGTTTTTTGAAGATAAATGTAGTTAACCTCGCCACGCTTGAAAAAGCTTCTAAATTTACTATTATGTTAAAACAAAGATTATAAATTTAGCAGCTCGAGCGGTTTCAAAGAATGTTTCACCTTATTATTTAGAAAGAGTTTCATTTATGTGCAAAGTGCAAGCGATGCGAATGAATGTTTCACTTTATTACTTTGCACAACGATTTTTTAGATATGCAATGCGGATCAGCGAAGTAGTAGGCCGTTTGCGGCCCGAACAAGGCTTGGCACAGTTTTTTTCGACCCTGTTTTTTTGACGCCATCTGAAAGAGCATAGTCGAATTAGTATGGTGGGATGATTTTTAAAGTTTAAAAAGTTTAATTTTGGGGTTAAAATGGGCCTCAAAGTCGCCGACACCGAAAAATTATCTTGAAAACTACTGAACCGATTTTACTGAAATTTTGCGACAATACATAATTTGGGACGGGGATCATTTCTCTAATACATTGCAACACCTGAAAATGGCAGGAACATAGGTATACCGCGTAGTGCAAACAGTTTTTGCGGAATTAGTAGTTTTACGGGTCCCCAGAGCGCTTAGCCACTAATGTTAAAAGATGCGCGCGAAATTTCTGCATAAAATGGTATATCTTCTGGAGCTCTACGCGAGCCCGTAAAAAGCGAAAAATCGAGTTTAATGTGGCGCCAACGCACCAAATTCGGCTATTTTCTTTCATAAGACAGGCGAGAGGAGGCGAGACAGTGGGGAAAAAAGAGAGGGTGGCTTCCGGGGGCCGATTTGGCTGCAGGCCTGTTCGGCTGTCGCTGTGGTGCATTGGTAGTGGGTCGGGATCCTTGCGCTGGGGCGGCTCTAGATCAATCCCAGCCCACCTTTAGAAAGCTAATTTCTTTTTGCTCTTTTTTGCAAGCTTCCTGATTTGGGCTCCTGAGGCATGGCCATGGTACCCCCGCAAAAATTTGCCGAATTTGGTGCGTTGGCGCCACATTAAACTCGATTTTTCGCTTTTACGGGCATAGCGGCTCCAGAAGATATACCATTTATGCAGAAATTTCCGCGCATCTTTTAACATTAGTGGCTAAGCGCTCTGGGGACCCGTAAAACTACTAATTCCGCAAAAACTGTTTGCACTACGCGGTATACCTATGTTCCTGCCATTTTCAGGTGTTGCAATGTATTAGAGAAATGATCCCCGTCCCAAATTATGTATTGTCGCAAAATTTCAGTAAAATCGGTTCAGTAGTTTTCAAGATAATTTTTCGGTGTCGGCAACTTTGAGGCCCATTTTAACCCCAAAATTAAACTTTTTAAACTTTAAAAATCATCCCACCCTACTAATTCGACTATGCTCTTTCAGATGGCGTCAAAAAAACAGGGTCGAAAAAAACTGTGCCAAGCCATAATGGGGTCTGTTCGGGTGACTCGCGGACGGCCTTTCAAAATAAATTTAAAACCCCAAAATGTCTCCATTACCTGCACTGAATGCCGCTGGTTGTTCCCGAGCACGCGCACCTCGAAATCACACTAAAATTTGTTATTTTTAACGTCTGCCAGGGACAGGGAAGCTGAGCATCTCGGCTGAACACCTTTGTCGCTCCTCAAAAACCCGATCACTATTTTTTTATGGAGCGAAAACGTGGAAATATTTGCTTGGATAGCTCGCTAAAATGTCAAACATCGATTTTTAACGGTTTAAGCTTTTTAACTAAATTTTTTAGTTTATTTTAAAAATTTAATTTTTTTAATCAAAAAGAGGTTTTTGGTTAGGACTTTTCTTTTTCTCATTATAAAATAACTTACCAAGGTGACGCGGGGAAAATTGCCCGACTCCATCCAGCTACGCCCGAATAGGAGATCCCTGAAAAGCCGGAGGTTGATAGAAGATGTTTCATACAATCGGCTTCACGCAAAATTAGGCTCTTAATTAATAGACCTCGACCATCGACATTAATTAACAAGCACAATGCAAGGCCAGATATTAAAAACTATCCGGCCCACCTCAACACGCCCAAGCCGTACACGGAGTAGTCGTCCGTCTCCAAGAACTTGTTCACCAGCACCAGGTTGGTCAGGATGTTGCCGACGTACATGATTTTTGTCGCCTGAAAAAAATCACCAATTTTGCTTCAACTAGGCTGGTTCTTTATTTCGGTACATTTTAAGTAGAGTTAGTAGATTTTACTGAAATTCTCCATTACGACTCATCGGAGAAACCGCAGTCGAGAAGTGTCAAAATCCCTAGTTATTGAATGAAAATGAATGATTAAAATCGCAATGTGCTGTATTGATCCTAGCTTTTTCATTGCGTCGACATTTTACGAAAATTAGATTAAAACATTTTATTACTCCACGCAGAAAAATTTTAATTTCGGCAATTTGGCTCCCAAAATTAGCATATTTGGTTGGAAAAAACTTATGCCAGTTTTTGTCATTCTCCATCCACCCCAGCCGCCCGAATGGGCGCCCATATTGGTGAGCGATTTTTTTCATTGCTTCCCAAGTTTCCGGTTATGCTAATTTTATTGAAACACAATGTTTGCTTATGGATTTACGGTTTTCATGGATTTTTCTGGTTCTTGGGTTGCAAAAACTCTCTGCGATCTGGCAGAAACAATGCCGCATCTGAAATGCTTGATGGAACACATGTGTTTAATTTTCAGGAAATGCCACCACTTGGACGATCCCCGGGTTGCCCTCGTTGACCATTCCCGCCCAACCAGGCGAGTACGTCGATGCTGTTGTCTCGACATTCCGGGGTACTTTATCTGTATTAACTCTTATTATCTTTTCAGATGAGCAGCAGCTGGAGCTGCACCTCATCTCCGCCAAGTACTCGCTCGAGTGGATCCACCGCGAGCTGGCCGTCACGCAGACGCTCGCCAAGCTGAACAACCCCAGGAAGGGTGAGGGACAGCTAGCAGAGATTGTTGAGGAAGAGGAGAGGGCAGGCTAGCAGAGATTGTTGAGGAAGAGGAGAGGGCAGGCTAGCAGAGATTGTTGAGGAAGAGGAGAGGGCAGGCTAGCAGAGATTGTTGAGGAAGAGGAGAGGGGCAGGCTAGCAGAGATTGTTGAGGAAGAGGAGAGGGCAGGCTAGCAGAGATTGTTGAGGAAGAGGAGAGGGCAGGCTAGCAGAGATTGTTGAGGAAGAGGAGAGGGCAGGCTAGCAGAGATTGTTGAGGAAGAGGAGAGGACAGGCTAGCAGAGATTGTTGAGGAAGAGGAGAGGGCAGGCTAGCAGAGATTGTTGAGGAAGAGGAGAGGGCAGGCTAGCAGAGATTGTTGAGGAAGAGGAGAGGGCAGGCTAGCAGAGATTGTTGAGGAAGAGGAGAGGGCAGGCTAGCAGAGATTGTTGAGGAAGAAGAGAGGGCAGGCTAGCAGAGACCCATTGAGAAGGTATTAATTTGCTTTTATTTCCAGGCGACCTGGCTGTGACCCGAATCGGCCCCCAAAAAGTCTGGTATCGTGCGGTGGTGCTCAACCGCGAAACGGCCGCTGAGGTATTTGTTCGTGAGCGGTGCTAGTGTACTAGCGGGGGGTGTTTATCTTTTTTTGATAGAATTTTTAATGAATTTTACTAGTGAAAAACGCGCCTTTTTCCTAGGTCCAAATCATGCTGCTCGACTACGGCACGCTGGAGCTGGTCGATTTTCGCGAGTTGTTCGACATGCCGGCCACCGTACGCCACATTCCGCGTAAGTTAATGTGCATATTATAAAACATGGAATACCATAATTTAATTCGGTGTTTTAGCCCTCTCCTTCCCGCTGGCGGTGCCGAAGCCGATGCTGATCGGCGTTCGCGAGGAGGACATGCGCACCACCCTCAAGCAGGCCAAGCTCACGTTCAAGCTCGGTATGATAGTATGCGGTTAAAGTAGGGTTGAGCGACTTCGAGGGGTTGAACGACTTGGAAAGCTTCGTGGCTTAAATGGATGCCTTAGACTGAGAGAAGGCTTAAAAGTTGCCGTTGGAGCTCAATGCCGGGAGTTGGGGGCTTGGGAGTGGGGTTGGGAGCTTGGATGGGATGACTTGGAAAGCTTGAATGACTTGGAAAACTTGAACGGCTTCGGATTCGTAAACTTTCGAATGGATTAATAAGCATGATTCAGTTTTTTTTCTTGGCTGCAAACCTTTGAAATTTGCTGAAACAAACGTTTTAGTCACATGGGCCCAGTTGTATTCTCAAAGATTTATATATTTGCTTCTGGCCATGTCATGAAACATGTATTTTTAAAACCTTGATCAAAAACTATTTCAAAACCAGCGCCCAAAACCCGCTTCGCGGGCCTTGGGCGCTGGAATTGGGCCTTTGCATGAAAAATTTGACTTTCCGATAGCTCGGGTCCTTCGGACCCCTTTCCCCCATCGACCACACACGCGCGGGCAAATTGCAAGAATGAGGAAATTTGTATTTTTTCATATTATGCAAATTACCCCCAAAAATGAATAAAACCGGCTTTAACTTTGTAAACTTGTATTTTATCGAAATTCTGAAAACGCCATCGGAAAGAGGAGGGTCGATTCCCCCAAGTGACAAAAAATCAGCGCATTTGGGACACGGGAAGGTCCTCAAATCGGGCCTGGAAAGTGACATCCACACACACACACACAGAGATACACTCCAAAATTATATAAGGTAGGATGTTTGCTTGTTTCTTTGTAATCGCCAGTTTTTATAGGCGCCTCGACGGACGGCTTCGTGTTCAACGGCGGTGACTTGCGCGTGTTCGACATGGCCAGCGGGGCCCTGGTGCCCGTCAACGAAGCTGTGCGCCGCGCCGGGGGCCAGCTCGAACGCGTCGAGTACAACATCATCAGCGGGACCGACACGGTACGGTACTTTGTCTATGCCTGAGCCTAAGCCTTGATTACACTCCGCTCCTTTAGACGCCACTGCCCCAATTCGAGCTCTCTCGAATCGCGAACTCCGCAAGCGGGCCCATGCCAATGATTCTGGAGCAGTCGATGGTGCTCAGGAGCAACAGCCTGCTGGGTCGTTGCTGAACAACAACCCGCGCATCACCAACAGGAATCCACCATCTGATGGAATGAGTGGGTCTCTCTCTCTCACTCTCTTTCTCTCTCTCAATCTGTACCGCCCCCCTCTTCAGGCAACGCGGCCGTGCTGGCCATCTCCGTCGTCGTGGGCTTGGGTATCATCCAGTGTGCCGTGTTCGCCGTGATCATCTACCGCTGCTGGCGCAAGCGTCAACAGGCGCTCAGCTCGACCCGCGATGAGCCAGCCGGCCAGGTGCACCCCGGCGGCGGCGGCCCGTCTGCTGAGGCCGACAATGATGGGTGGGACTTAGCCTTCAATAGCTTAGGCTTCAATTAGGCTTGGCTTAGGTCTGGCTTAGGCTTAGCTTAGGTTTAGGCTGAGTTTCGGCCTAGGTTAGGCTTAGGCTTGGGCTTCCGGGTTTCCTTAAAACCATCGTTTTCAGTGACACCTCCGCTCGTGCTGGCGGCGGCCACTCCTGCCAAAAGTCCATCACCAATTCCACGTAGATGCTCTTTACATCGTCCCCAAAAATTCGTTTAGGGACGCGGGCCCAACCGTTGGCACTCCACCCGCGCCAGCGCCCCCGCGCCTCGCCTCCAGCCTCGCCAGCGCGTCCACCAGGACCGTCACGCTGGCCGGCGTGGTGAGCGACATGGTCGAACAGTCCGAAGAGCGCGGAAGCCCCGCCCCCGAGCCGTCCACCTGCCCCGCCACGGCCACGCCGGGCGTGCCTGTGCCGACGACCAGCGCTCGCACGCTGCCCACCCCGGCCATGATGTTGATGACCGACCCGAATATGGTGGTCGTCGAGGATGAGACGACGGTCGTCGCCAACAGTGCCGCCAGCGCGGGAAGGACAAACCCGAGGACTGTCAATCCAAGGGTAAGGAGTTTTCGAGCTGGACTGTTAGCGGGGGGGTGCGATCCCCTCCTCGACCTCAACAATCGCTTCTAGCCTGCTCAGAGCACCCTGACGGCCGTGACGCTGATGGCCACGGCGCGTATCCAGTCGCAGTCGGCCAAAATGTAGGCGACGCTACGCTACATTCCTATGTACACACTACCGTATTCAGGGCCGAGACGCAGCTCAGCCGTACGCCGATGCGTAGCGACGGTACGCAAATGGCCACCGACTGGTCGTTCCCCGCCCAGAGCACCCAGGGCTCCAAGACGGTGGTGAACAAGCGAGGTGCTGCTCATTCCCGGGTTTTCTTGCTTTTTAAAGGGGCGGTGACAGTAAGGAGAACTTTACGATTTTCTAGCCATCGTCGTGGAGACGTGCGCCACCGACCCGACGATCCGCGGCGTCGCCAGTCTGCCAGTGGACAGTCGGGTAAGCCTAGACCTAAGCCTAAGCCTAAGCCTAAGCCAAGCATAAGCCACAGCCTAAGCTAAGCCCCGGCTCAAGCCTAAGCCTAAGCCTCTGCCTAAACCTATGCTTCAGACGTCGGTGACCACACCGATGATGTCGACGCAGCGCCCGGGGACGCTGTCGACGAACACGGCCGGGGCCCGTCGCCACGCCACTGCCGTCCGCATCGACAACCACGACGGCGAGACGGTCAAGATCGACGAACCGGGCGGAGGGCCGGCTACCGCCCACAGCGTGACCACCAAGACGGCGCTGCGCTTTGGCGCCGGACGGAGTGATGGTGTTTGGCATCGGGTGGGTAGGGGGGTACTAGCAGAGGGAGTTGGGGAATTCGATGATTGAACGGCTAGAAGACGCCGGACGGCTTTTCGAAGGGCTGACTGCTAGCAGAGGAAATTGGAGTAGTTGGGTTGAACGGCTAGAAGATGTTGCACGAAGGAGGGAAAGATAAAATCAACAAATTTGACACTTTCGAATCGAAGGTTCAGCAAGGTTTTGAACCTCTAGAAGATGTCGTCGAGAATTCTAAAGCTAGGCAGGCTAGCAGAACATTTTACCTAAGAAGTTAATCTCTGGAAGACGTCGGCTAGAAGTTTGGGTGGGCTAGCAGAGCTCCTTTTGGATCTGGATTCCGATTAGCTACTTACTGGGGCTGGTAGATGACCACGGGCAGGCTAGCAGAGAGCATTTATGGATTATTCTGAGCTGCAACAACGAATATCTATTAATGCGCCCTCTCCAGAACCGCCGCCCATCCGAGGACGAGACTTCGGAAGATGACGCCGACTCCGAGGAGGACGACTCCGAAGAGACCTCTGATGAGGACCGCATCCCCGCCTACTGCATCCTAAACGAGGAGGCCAAGGTCGGATAAATCCCCCCCCCCCGATAATGCACAAGAACCCTGATTTCTAATTTGAAATGCCAAACCCCTGCTTTCAGCACGACAAGCTGTACTACGCGTCGTCAATGTCGGGCAGCCGCAGCGTGCACGCCGCGCAGCGCGAGGGCAGCGCGCTTCGCACTCCGCCCAGCCCGGCCGTCACGCTGCACGATTCGGACCTGGAGACGCCGCGCTTCGAGCCCATCCACCGTCTGCTCGAGTGGGTTTTGCGGGGGTGTAGTTTAAAGCCTTTTCGGGGATTCTACGGATTTCTTGCCTTCTGTGGGCCTTTAAAAGGACTGGGAACCTAAAGTTTAAAGAAAATTAAAATTAAAGAATGGACATATGTGTTTTTCATTAAAAAGTTTGCTTTAGCGGCCCTTTACAGTAGGGCAAAAATTGAGTATAGAACGATGCCACGGAGTGGATGAAAATTAAAATGAAAAATTCCCTTTCGTAATTGGCATTTGCTAGAACATTTTTTCAAAAATTTTTTTTCCGGTGGATTTTTTATTTATTGTATTTCGTTATTATATTTTTTTACTGTATTACTTAGTTATTTTTACTATGATTAGCAATTTTATGGATTCGATAACCAGAAATTTAATCCTCGAATAGGGCTACCCAACCTTAAACGTCCGGCGGAAAAATTGAACCCCGGCATGCAGCTTGTTGATTGGAATCTATTGTTGATCCTCGTTCTGGAATATTATATCTCTTACCAACTATCGATTTAAATTCTAACATTTGTCCATCATTTAGTCTTTTTTTTCCAGTGACATGGTGACCACCGACTCGTCCTACAAGATCACCACGCCCACCGGATACGAGAAGGGGCTTTTGGGTAAGGAGAGCTGGAGAAGTTGACGAATATGAGTACAAAAATCGCTTTGCCTTATCAGGATTTATGAAACATAGTGATTGTTTAACTAAAAATTCCATGAAAACATTTTACGTTGAAACGAATGCTTAATTTGGAATTTAGACTCGCCCGCCATCCCTTACACCCCGACCCAACCGAGCTGGAGGCTGCACCAGCAGCCCAGGGCCAACGCTGTTGAGGTTGAGGTGAGTAAGCAAAGATTCTTGGGGAGGGGTACGCTAGCAGAGATTGTTGAGGAAGAGGAGAGGGCAGGCTAGCAGAGATTGTTGAGGAAGAGGAGAGGGCAGGCTAGCAGAGATTGTTGAGGAAGAGGAGAGGGCAGGCTAGCAGAGATTGTTGAGGAAGAAGAGAGGGCAGGCTAGCAGAGATTGTTGGGGAAATTTACTTTTTTCAGCTGATATCTACCCGTGCCATCGGGCCGGTCCGCTCCACCCCGAATCCGTATGCTACCTCAAATGGTAGGAAATTTTAAGTAACGGAAAAATTTGAATTTCTTAGATTCTGCCCGCTCGCTGTCCTTCTCGGTGACGTCGCGCCAGCCGCCTCCTCCAGTCATGGTAAGGGAGAGAGGGATAGAGAGAGAAAGAGTGAGAGAGAGAGAGGTAAAGAAATCCTTCTCTTTCTAGGCTTCCTCCTCCTCCTCATCGACTTCCTTCCACTCGGCGGCCACCAACAACAACAACCAGCACCGCCCCTAGGCCACGCCCTCTTTTCAACTACCGCTACAACTCCTGCCGCCTGCCCAACCACCAAATAATAAAACGGAAACAAAAATGAAAATGCTTTCAAGTCATTATGCTGCCCCATTTTTCTGCCCCCTCTCCGCCCGGGGCCCAAACTGTCGCTCTTATTCTCTCTCGTTGCATCTCTCGTTCGATTCGTCGTATTAGATCTTATCGATTCCTTTTTTGTTGATTTATGTATGTGATTTTTGTGTCTGGTGAATAAAAAAAATTTTTGAAAAGAATTGTCTACTTACCGCCGTGTTTGATTTAAGATGTTTCATGTTTTGTAGAAGTTGCGGGAAAACAATGATCGAGTAATTCATGGACGAACTGCCGAATGAATCGCATAGATTCCTCTTTTGATGTATTTGTAAAAAAATTTTGAAAAGTTACTTTTTTGCCGATTCTCGCTGTGTATTAAAATGTTTCATGTTTTGTAGAAATTCTGCGAACTAAATGAAAGGCAATTTGCTTTGCAAAATAGATCCCGAATTAACGCTGCGTATTGCGCGTTTGGTGATCAAATTGTAAAATTCATTTCAGAGAAAAATGCAACTTTGTCTTAAAAAAGTATGTTTCATGATCGGCGAATAATTTTTGCGAACTTTTTGCGGCTAATCAATTGGGGAATCCGCCATACAATCATTTGCCAAAAAAGGTCATTTTTTACGAAATCCTTCAAATTTCATTGAAAAATGTCTAATGTTTCTAAAAGATACTCAAGATTTTTGAATAGAGGCCATGTTTTCCTAGAGTACTGGAAGTTGCAGAAATTCGACGCGATGTGATTATGGAAATCAACGCATCTAGGATTAGAAAAATCTGTTTCGTTTCTGGCATATACTTGATTGGATCCTAATGATATAATTGCAAGTGATGAGATTTCTCGCATTCCAGATTCATTACATGATTTAATCGAAATTTCCCCACATTCATTAAATGGGCTCCCCCCAGAAATTCGGTCATTTAAAAAATTGTGTTTCAATTTTCACAAATATTGCCGATTCCGCAGACCGATGTTAGTATAATCATCGTTCCTAGGGTCGCACAACCCCCAAAAAACACGGTGTTTCATAAAAAAAAGAAGCCGGCGCAACGCGCCGTTTCCTATTTTTTTAATACAACCGCTCAATTTCTGACCCACTTCATGACCATTATCTAATTTTACCCCATCCACCCTCATAATACAAAAACATACCAAATACAGTCCCGTCACGTAGCTCTCGTAGTATCGCATGTTGAAACATTTGAACACTCGATGGAGCGTGTATTGGGTGCGGGAAGTGGCCGTGTGTTGATATCTGAAATTGTTCATTAATGACAGGCCTGGATTCCTTCCTCCTCCGCCAGCCTACGCTCTCCTCTTCCACAACAATCTCTGCTAGCCTGCCCTCTCCTGTTCCTCAACAATCTCTGCTAGCCTGCCCTCTCCTCTTCCTCAACAATCTCTGCTAGCCTGCCCTCTCCTCTTCCTCAACAATCTCTGCTAGCCTGCCGTCTCCTCTTCCTCAACAATCTCTGCTAGTCTGCCCTCTCCTCTTCCTCATCAATCTCGGCTAGCCCGCCCGCTCTCTCTCTCTCTCTCTCTCTCTCTCTCTCTCGCTCGCTCTCTCTCTCGCCCTACCTGAGCGCTGATTCGATATGTCGGCTAAGCGATTCGATGGTTCGTATCCGGTAGTCGGGCTCGATATTTTCCTTCTCAGTCGCCATCTGGACAATGTCGTTCAGGCGAATACCTGGAAAACGCCGATAAAAAAAGCTATAAATGTGCAGCTCTAAAAAATTAGTCGCCCAGAAAATTTTTGATTTTGTAGAATGTATGAAAAATACTTTTTTAACGCGAAAGTTTGCGTACCCGATTTATCGCTCATCAGCCTCCACATAAGGCAAGGAATGTAGTAGAGAAAGGCCTGAATTTAATTGAGGGTTAAATTAAAATAATCAGACAATTCTATTGGTTTATAAAGCCCAAAAGTACCTGTATCAACAAGAAAAACGGCACCCACTGGTAGTAGGATATTTGCCGGTACTCCCGCTCGCTGATGTCCACCGGAATGTCCTGGAATTTTCGCGTTATTTTCAGATACTTTCTTATTGTGTCTATATACGATAAGATAATTCACATGATTAACCCAAAAAGTGGTAAGGATCATGAAAATCGGCGACTAATTGATAAAAATCCGTGTCATCGATACATTGTTTTTATGAAACATATTTTTTCGTACTCGGTGGGTGATTAGATAGTACCCAAAAATTATCGGCAAGCGTGGATAGCAACAATCCGCTGCATCTACTCATAATTTTTTATGACACCTAGTTTTTCCAATTTTTATCGTTGTTTTTTACCTAATTTTTGTTGTATGCTTTTGGTACCATAAATTTCATAAATGACGATTTAAGTCTAATGATTTGGATAGTAAACGAAAATAGTAAATTAAATGTCCTTTAACCAATATTAAGTAAACGGCAAACAATAAACATGGAATTATTACGTAAAAATGATCGTGCCATTCAATGAATCGTTCGTCAAGTGCCGCGACTAATTATTAGGCAAAAACATCTTTTTTCCGCAGTAGTCATATATTAATAGGACTTACTATCATAATGTCGACATTCATAATGTCGAAACTCATAATGTCCAACATTAATAATGTCGAAATTTCATAACGTCGAAATGTCATAATGTCGAAATTCAGAACGTCGAAATTTTCTTGCATAGGCTTGGGGTCCTAGCCTATGTAAATTTCGACATTCTGAATTTCGACATTATGCAATTTCGCTATGATGAGATTTCGACCTTATGAAATAAGGCGATATATAATAGCTACAAGAATGAGTTACGAAAGGAATATCACGACCGCGTGCTGCAATGGAATTAGTTAGTTCGTAAAGGGCCGTGACTAATTTTTTTGAAGGAACATTGATTTTGCCACCCTTAACTTCCAGTGATTTCACAGCTGGGCTGACGGATTTAGGCAGGCAGAACAACAAAAACAATCTAATCAAACTAATAATAGTTTTGGAAAGGATCTTAAAATCATCTTAAAATCATCAAAATCATAATCAAACTAATGAAGCACTTGGGTGCTGGATGCACTATTAACGCGAAACATTCGTTTTGACCTATTTCTTCCAGGATTTTTAAGACCGCATTAATTTAAGGCAATATCTTGTAAATCTAATTAGGTAGCAAAATGCGTTAAAAGAGATCGAAACTTTGGTCCAGATGGTCGACTGGAAGATGTCGATAAAACCCCATTACTCAAACTGACCTGTTCGATGGGTACCCAGTAAGTGTTCTGCGCCCAGCAGTACATCTCCGTGTACGCCTCCCATGAAGCGGTGAACTGGGCGGGTACCCAGCACTCCAGTGGACGGCCTCCAAACTATAATTATATTATATTATCCTTTATCAATACCCTCATATTGAATACTATATTAATATTATAATAATTATACTATATTAATAATACAAAGTAATCATACATCGAGAAATATATTATTCGGTGAGACTTTACTTTACCCCCCCCCCACAGCCGAAGGTTCTCAAAGTTTTCGCTATTTTCGCTATCTTTATCGGGATTTTTGCAACGCCATTCGATAGAGCGTCGAAAAATATACTAAGGGTTCTGATTTGAGCCTACAAAAATGTAAAATAAAAATGTTATAGCCAAAAAGTGCCAGCTGGCGGGGGTGGTAAAGTAAAGTGTGGCCTATTATTCCAAAGTTGTGCATCGAGTGGCGTTTGTGGATTAAAATCCCACTGCCACACTCAAAAGAACACTTTTTCAAAACATATTTTTGGTACCTGCTTGAAGCTGACGAGCACGGCCATCATTATTAGAAAGGATGAGGTGTAGAAGTAGCTTAATCTGAAAAAGCAAAAGCCGTATCGTTATTAGAAAATAAATTCCTTTATGTGTTGTTCTTATACTTGGTTTTATAAAACAACAATGAATTATGTTAAAAATCTCGCTCAGGATGATTGACCGAAATATGTTTCGACGAAAATCCTTTACCTGAATTTTCTTACCAAGCCAATACAATCCTATTTGTTGGGTAGATGTGGGTTTCTATTGGCGTTTTTTTTCTGATTTTGACAGTTTTTGGGGGATTCAGAGAGTGAGTTATTTCCGCTTTAAAGTTCACCAAAAATTATTCTAATGCGTTATAAAATTTATGTTATGTATTAAAATAAACAATCTTTTTTGTAAAAACATGTTTCAATAAAAACACGATATTGCAAGGTTTTTGAAAAGCTAACCAGCGCCTTGTTTCCTCTAGAAGCCTCGGTATGAGCAAATGTTTAGAAAGTAAAAAATTTGAGCACAAAATTTATACAATATTCCGGCGCGCACCTGTCTACGAAATCGTCGTCTTTGCGGTAGTGGAGAAAGGAGAGGGCGCTGAACATATTTTGGAGCACCATGGCTCCCACCTGAAATTGAGGGATTACTGTAGTTTCTAAGAAATAAGGTTAAAAGGCACGTAATTTTTTTAGAGAAATTTATGGATTTACCTGTTAGCCTAAATTTAATTCAACATTGATTAAAATATGTATATATGTTTTAGCGAAGCATTTTTCATTCGAAAACTATTTAAATTAGCCAATATTATTCATTCAAATAACTCATAAAATTCAATTCATGAACCATTAAAATAAAATTCCAGCTAACTAGTCGCATTATCTACGCAGAGCCACTTTCAAGATAGTATGTTTCGAACAGAATTACTCCTAAAATAGCCGGCTTCACCTTTAATGCGTTTGCGATTATGACCTTGTAAAATTAGAGCTGGTAAAGGTAATTATCACACATTAAAATTTACAAAACTATCGAAATTTGTTCTTTTTGATCAAAAATGGACCAACAATGACCAAAAAACGTGCTTCAAGTTTTCAATTTTTTTTCGCACTTTTGTTAACTTTTTAATAACTAATTAATTAAAAACCATTAACAATACTATAAAAACAGTATATTTTATTAACAGCAAGGTATGGGCGGGAAAATATAAACCCCCCGCTAACAGCCCAGTACCAAATAATAAATAGTATTGAAAAAGATAACAATCAACAAAATAAGCCCACTTCAACGACGGCCGCGTGGTGATACGAAGAGTCACGCCCGTGTCCTAAAAAAAAATTGTAAAGATGTTTCAGAAATATTATTGCTTTCAAATTTTTCTGTTTTTGTCATTATCGACCGCTTCTCTGCACTCTAATTAGTGTTTTAATTTTACAATTAATTAATAATTAATCGCACGTATTTAATGGCCGATTTCGAAACCAGGGGAACCTTTTACTCTGCGATGCCTATAGAATGAGAGTGGTCCACGGGTTTGCATCTCATCCGCTTCATTTGTAGATCATCTCAATCGCTCGCTCTTGCTCTCTCTCTCTCTCTCGCTCTCTCCCACCCTGTCGCGTGGCTGGTACTGTGGACGGCCGGCCCCAGTCCTTTAAACGCAATGGGTGGAGCTGATTTGCATATAGGAAAATTTAAAAGATCAAAATACCTTTTTACAAAGCAAAAATGAGATCAAAATAATACTAGCAGTGAAAAGATGATGTTTCGAAAGTTATAAAAAAAGTGCGGTTGAATCCGATCAATAGAACACGAATGTTTTTTCACGATTTGTTTAAACGCAATGCTTAGGTTGAGCGACCACATCAGCATCCAGGAAAATTCAGAAAATAAGAAAAATAGTGGCGCTTACGAGGTAAAAAAATCAAAATGAAAGAAAAACGGGGGAACGTCAATAAAAATCGCAAAAACCGTGTTTCAATAATTTTCAAAAACGCGTATTAGGCAGCAATAATAATCCGTTATGGAGTAGGAAACAGCAATTCTATGAAAAATGACGTTTAGCAAAAATTACAAAAGCCACTTTGGGGCGTTCCGAGCAATAGATTTTCACATCGGATTCATCATTGAGTCTAAAAAATGACTTGGATGTAACTCGTCGAAAATGATAAAAATTGAAAACCCGTGTAGCTGTTACACTAAAAAAATACTAAAAAAAGAAGGTTACATCTATAAATATTGCACCGAGGGGAAATCGGGTTTTAGTACACTTCACATATGAGCCGAACACCTATCTAGTAGACGAATTTAAACCGTTTTAAGGCACTTAAATCCTACTATATATAAAAAAAATAGTGTTTGTGTGTGTGTGTGTGTGTGTGTGCATTTGCATGCAACTTCCGTCCGTATGTTCCAGTCGTAACTCAATAAAGGAAGAAGTTAAGGGCACGTATGATACGTCATTAGGTGCGTAATAGTCATGACACGACTGCACGCATATGAGATTTTTCAAAATCAGCTGTTTTCGACATTAAAAATAGGTTTTTGTGAAAATCGCGCTCGGTCTCTTTGTTAGGAAGCAATTTGCATGCACCGGAAATGGGGAGAGCTTATATATTGGGGGAGGGGAGGCGTCTTTCATTTTTTTGTCCAGGAATTCTGGAGTTTAAGCAAAGTGATGAAATGGGGGTAAGACGGGGCCAGGGTTGAAAAGTCGCGAAGCGGCTTTTCAACCCTGGTTAGGTTTAAATTAGTGAGGTCAGCCCAACGTGGCGGAAACAAAATGATGTTTCAAAAAACTGCCAAACACGGTTGTTTTTGTTCGGGACATTATATACAAGCGCATTTGGAATCACCTTACCGCCAGCCGGATCTTATAAGCGCACTTTCTCGATCGGATGTGCAGATGGAAAAATCGAGGCGAGTAAGCAGCTTTTACACCCTTAAAAAAGGCAAGGTGCCAGAAAAACCGGGATGATTAAAAAAAAATTCTGTTTCAATACAGTACAAAGCTACGGCGTGTGGGATTCGATCAATACTAGGTCATTTCTTCCATGTCTGTCTTCTTCCGATATTTCGAAACGCTTGAATTTTTACAGTTTGTTTAATCGCTCATTTTAATTTTGTAATTGCTACAGCTCAGGTAAATAAATTTTGATAAAAATTTGTGGCACACTGCTAACAAATCCTAACAAATATATAGATTAAGGCTCTATAAAGATTGATGCCCCGCTCACAAAATCTGGAGTTTCCCCCCACCCCTAACATGAAGTTTGTCGCACAAAAAAGTGCCAAGCGGTGGGCCGAGGCCAAACAATTTGTGAAGGCCGCGGGGCCAAGCCGGCCGAGAGGGGGCCCACGACGCGGGCGACCCGTAATTTTGGGGTGGGAGGGTAATTATTTTGTCGCCTTTCAGTGTGAACAGAAAAAAGCAAGCTGCCACGGGGCCCTTCACATACACAACACCTCGCCCGCAATTAAACTTGCTCGGGCTGAAGTTAGAAAAGTTATTTTCAGATTTTTATCTGTATTTGGAAAGGGGTGGGATATGGAAATCTGCACGAAGTTGGCATTTCCTCAACAATCTCTGCTAGCCTGCCCTCTCCTCTTCCTCAACAATCTCTGCTAGCCTGCCCTCTCCTCTTCCTCAACAATCTCTGCTAGCCTGCCCTCTCCTCTTCCTCAACAATCTCTGCTAGCCTGCCCTCTCCTCTTCCTCAACAATCTCTGCTAGCCTGCCCTCTCCTCTTCCTCAACAATCTCTGCTAGCCTGCCCTCTCCTCTTCCTCAACAATCTCTGCTAGCCTGCCCTCTCCTCTTCCTCAACAATCTCTGCTAGCCTGCCCTCCCCTCTTCCTCAACAATCTCTGTTAGTAACCCCCGTTAACCTAAAAGCACCCCGAATTAATGAAAAGAAGTAGTTGTCAATATTTTAATAAGAGCAGGAATTTTAAATTTGATTGAGAAATATTGTTCCAAACTGCTCAGCTAAATAATTAGCCAGGATAATCAAAGCAAGTGGAAAATCTTTGAAACATTTTTCAACAATCGCAAAAAATTGCAAAGCGATTTAGTAGAACATTTGCGATCAAGTCTTATTCAAAATCAGGGCATTTATTCTTATTTTTTATTATATTTTCCTAATTCTTTCTTATTCTAGGCAAGGAAGCGAATCACTACGTATTATTTTTTAAAGATAAACAAGAAAATCAGAAAGATGCGCAAATGGTCATGTAGAACTGAACCAGCGTCGAATGGGACAAAATCGGTCAATTTTCTTAGTAGGTATCTTGAAACATTTAATTCCTTAAAAATTTAGAAAAAACAAGAACAACGAATCGATAGACCAAAAATCCGGGGGGTCCAATGGGGGCCCCTTGGGCGGGGTGTCGCACGGTTTCGAATAATTTATTTGAGGGTGGGCCCCAGGAATGGGGGCCCAACCAGGGGCCCACACGAATTCCGAGATTTCCGGGATTTCGTGGGTAAGTCGAAAAATCGCGCGAGGGAGAAAATTGGCGTTTAAAGGAGCAGTGAAGTCAAGATTGTTGTAACATCGCAATTCATCACATTTTCGGTAAAGCAAAAAATCAATGGTATCGTTTTAATTAAAGCAACCAACTTAAATTGGTCCAATCAACCTACAATCATTTTTTAACTGTAATAATAATTCCCGATATTCGTTTAAAAAAATGAAGCATGATTTTTAAAGCGACCGTGAAGTCAAAAATTCTTGGATTTCGATTACCAAACGAGACGAAACTGGCGCAAAATCACACCCAGAAACTCCATAAAAGCCTGAAACACTCTTTTCTTAACCCGGTCGTGGAATTTTTGGCCACAGACGTATTGTAAAAAGCCGGATGTATGGAGGCCAAGGCTTAATCCAAACTCTAACGATCAACGTAAAGTTTCATCGTTCCGAAAAAGAAGTAAAAAAGGAAAAGCGCTTAAAAATTCAGAAAAAAGTGTTGCAATCTTTTCAGAGGAGAGCCCGCCAAAGTGTATGCAATATAGGGGCTGTCGCTCCTCCTCCGGGAAAGGCAAGGAGGAGGAGTGCTAGTTGGAATAATTTTTGATGGCAGGGAGAGGTGTAGATGTCTCTCTGTCTCTCGCTCTCTCTCTCTCTCGCCTCGTCATTCTACCCGTGAAGAGATGTGTCGCCCCCTTTGGCGACTTCTAATCAAAAACTTCACAAGCCCCCCAAGAAGACACACATCTCATGAAAGGAAAGGCCCCAGGAAAAAAACGGCAAAAGGAGCTCTTGGCTCAGGGCAATCAATAAATATTCGTTGGTTCTTTTGCATTATCGGGGGGACACTTTTTCTAAGGATCCATTTTTCAAAAGTGTTTCTAAGCTCTTTTTACTATTCCTAAGCGTAAAAACTTTACAAATTTGTAATAAAAAATATACACAAAATTTCGATTTCTCGATCAAAATTAATAAACTAAAATTTCGGGTTTTTGACTATAAATTTTAGATATCAAATTATACAAAAAATTTTCGTTCCTTCCCCGCTAGTAATGCAAAAGGACCAATTAGCTGAGCTGGGGCAAAAACCTCCGAAAGGGCTCGGAAAGAAAAATATTCGAAAATTCGGTATTTTCGCGTTTTTTGGTATTTTTACCGCTCAATTTTACGCACACCGCCAGCTGGTATCGACTTAGTAAAAAGCAAATAAAAGCGAAAAATGGCAGAAAATTTTTAATTGATAAAATCGATGTTTCGGAAAATTTTCTGTCCACAACCGGGTTTCCATCTTTAGTCCTCAGTCCTTTTTGGCGTAAAAAGGATTTTTCGATTTTTGAAATTTTCGACTTTTCAAGAGCTTTTCTATTCTTTTCAAAAGGGATCTTCTTTCATTATATTTTTTAGCAATTACTTTTATAAAGAATCATTTTTAAGTTTGCAAAAGTTTTGGGTGCCCTAAACAATTGAAGAATCGAAACCAAAGGATGGAGAAAGATAAAGTTGAGAAAACAAATGTTTCGCAGCAATCCATTTTCAAAAAAATTTGACCCATCCAATTTTGCGTTGAAATGAGATGTCGAATTTTCTTCTTTTGACTAGAAAGGGGTAATGGTTCGGATTTGAATTTCTAGGATTTTAGGAAGTTCTAGGATTTGAATCACTGAAGTTAAAGTGGAAAAGGCGTCGGTACGATTTTTACAAAATGTCTGTTCATCTACTCAAAATTAACAAGAGCGTCTAAATCCCAAAAACTTAAAGTATCGATAAAAATTCAATTTAAAAATCGATCAAAGCGTTTGAAAAATAAATGTTTCGCAGAACTCCATTGTCAGAAACATCTCTACACATCTAATTTTGCGTCGAAATGAAATATTTACTTTTACTTTTTACCAAAAAGGGCAATGGTTCGAATTTGAATTCTTAGGACGATGAAAAAAAGTGAAGGTTCCTCAAATTCAACGAAAATATGAGATGTATAAAGTAAGACGACTCGAAAAAATTGAAGAAAAAGGGTTTCTTGACCGAATCCGCGTGCCGTCCCTCTCAATCCTAATAAAATATCAAATCTGAAATCTTGAAAAGATAGCGTCCTATAGGAGTTTGATATATCTTGTTAGATGCCTTACTGCGAACTTTAGAACTCAAAAGAAACCCAAAATCAACGAAAAATGCCCCGCTTTTGGCAACGTTCCAGCTAGTGGGGGGATGGGCCGCTTTTTGGGAGCAAAGATGCCCTCTCAAAATTCGGGCGTTTCCGAGGCGCGCGCCGCGACGGGGGGGGAACCCAATTTCCGGAATGTATAGACCGCCAAAAATACCCGAATTAGCAATCCCGCGCATTAGAAGGTGGGAGACGGCGACATGCAAAAGACCCCCACAGCTCGGTAAAGCTTCCGGTGAATTTCGAAAAATGTGTTTCGTGAAATATTTGAAAAGCTTTACCTTTACATGGAATTAGTATTAGGTCATAAGTATCATCTAAAAAAGTAATATTCATTCAGTTAATAAGTAGAATTAAAAGTTTCTACTTGCTTTCGAAATGGAATGAAGACTTTCAAAAAGTACGTTTTCTTATTGAAAGTGGTGAAAAGGGCGGTGAAAGATCCAGTGTGAACCAGGCTATGGATGATTAAAAGATAAATAATTTTATATTCAATGAAAAGAAAACCCAGTTTTTATAATATTATTTATCACACAAAAGAATTCGTAAGCAAAAGCCCGGAAATGTATGGATTATAATAAACTACTACGGTATTATGTATTTTGGCTTCTTCTTGCGCCGCAACCTGCGAACTACAAAAAGTATGTTTCGTTAATAGAAAAGGCGCATGACAGAAAAACTGGATTGTTTAACTCATGCCATATAACGCATACAAAATTTTAATTGTAATAAACGTGATATTTAATCAAATTGCGTCACGGCGCTGAAAACTACTTAAATTTTATTTTAATTTTTTTTTTCGCCATTTTCAATCGAAACATCGATATTTTTGATATTTTCTAAGACAGATTTGTAAAGTTTTGACGCTTCGGAAGAGTAAAGCTCTTTAGAAACGCTTCCACTTTGTATTTACAAAATGGATCCTAGGAAAAAAGGTTGGTCCCCCCCCCCCGATAATGCGAAAGAACCGGCCCAAAAAATCCATAAAAATTCGATAATTCAATTTTTAAAATTTCCGAGTTTCGTCGACGGGGCGTGTGAAATTAGGAGTGTGTGTGTTTGGGCGTTGGCTGGCAGTGTCGATGGGGGGCCAATTTCCCGGGGACACCTCCATTGGAAAACCCACGGCGCTACAATACGCCACTGATTGCTATTTTCGCGGTGGGACCCAGCCAGAGAGAGAGAGAGAGAGAGAGAGAGAGGACACCGGGGGAAAAGGTATGGAATTAGTCTGTGCGCATATACACACACCTAGAAAACCCATACACTTTGCCGGAATTGGTAGTGCAGCGTAGTAATGCGTGGTAATACCGGGTATTACCCGCCTCAAATCGGCACTTTGGCATTATCGGGGGGTCGTTTCTAATATAAAGGTCCCAATTTTTTAATACAAGTCTGGGAAGCTTACACGATTTTTACAATGCCAAAAGGCAAAACGCAAGGCGAATAAAAGTTGGAAATTTATATGAAAGAGACGAAAAATGTCTTATTACTTTTTTACTTTTTATTATACTAATTACGCGGATACGAATTTCCAATTTACACTTATTTTAAATTTCTAAATAATGGAGATGGAATACAATCGTTAAAAATACGTTTTTCAAAGGTATTAACACATTTTCCCATCATTGATTATCCAAATCTTCAGAAGCCGGTCTTTGAAATTGCTCGAAACATTATTTTTGGCCAAATTTTTGCCCATTAAAAAGTGAGAGAATGATTAAGACGAATCGTATTGCAGCCGCATTAGAAAGATTTCCTAGATGTACTAGCTAAAATTATTCGAAACAACACTTTCTACTTTTTTGGACTAAGGAAGATTACGGAGGACGACAGACGATTGATAGAAAAATGTTTAACAAACGTTTAAAAACAATCTCGATGGTTGGATTAAAATACAAATAAAATAAAAATTTAATTTAATTCGTATGGGTGCGCCGCGTGCACATTATTTATGTCACCCAAAAAGGTCAGGTTTGAAATTATCTGAAACAGAATTTTTTTGGGAAAAAAATGTTTACGAGCAAAGGCGATATCGTCGAGATCAGTTGTTATGCAATTCTAACTATAATTAAATGCAATAAAAAATAACTAATGATCTGCCCAGTTTTTTATTCGAGTTCGGGCGTGTCAATCGCGATCGCAGATTATTGACAGTCCGAAGCGCGGATTTGTGAAATTATTTGAAACTTCGTTTTTTAGCCAATTTTTTTTCGGAATGAAAAGCAAAAAACAAATGATTGCAAATAAATGTTATTATAAGAAATGTCTCAAAACTAATCAATAATTCCGTCCAGGGGAATTCTAGTTTCGGCGTTCCCCCTTCGGCTGCAGTTAAATGGCCCGGCGGGCATTTTGGGGCTTGGTGTGTGTATGTGTGAGAGAATTGGATGGGTACTCACCGCTTCTGTCTGTCTGTCTGTCTGTCTGTCTGTCTGTCTGTCTGTTCGTCTGTCTGTCTCTCTGTCCATATTCTATCTCTATCTCTCGATGTCCGCCTCTTCAAATCGAGCACATCTCCATCTCATTCTTTAAGGCGCGACGTCGAAAAGTCACCCCCACAATTCGATTTCCGCCCTTGTGAGCCCCCCACCTTCGGCTTTTCCCCCTCTTTTTCCGGGTATCGCCCGCCTTTTCGGCACCTTTTTAGGCGTAACTTTAGTGTCTGAGCTCTCTCTCACTCTCTATCACTTTCTCTGCCTCACTCTCTCTCCGTCTCGCTCGCTCTCTCTCACTCTCTTTCACTCACTCGCTCTATCACGCTCTCACGCACACTCTCTCCCTCTCTCTCGCTCTCTCTCGCACTCATTCTGTTCCTCTCTCTCGCACTCGCTCTGTTTCTCTCTCCCTCTCTATATATCTTTCTCTCTCACTTTCTCTCTCTCTTTATCTATCTATCTATCTGTCTCTCTGCCTCACTCTCCCTCTCCCGCTTTCACCCCTTTGCTTTCTGTATCGTTACCCAGCTTTTTGAGCCTGTATGTTGTTGACATTGACGCCTTGTATGGTTCGTAGGGTCCATAAAAACATGAAACACATTAACGTATGGCTTAGAACATTGAGTCCGGTATTTAAATGTATCGTTAAAATACTCTTAATTCAGGTCGAAACCTTAAGTTAGTTCTTAAGACTGTGTAATTTCCCAATGTTTTATCAGAAACTAAAAAATAGTAGTTTTAAATTTACTACTGCCTTACTTTTTAATAAAATTGAACTTCCACTTGATTGTTAGATTAGAAGCAAGGCCAGGAGGCGCCAGAGCAACCGGAAAACCTTAAAGGGAT